CCCGTGGCTTAGCGGTTAAGTGCGCACGCGCTCGGCTACTGGTGGCCCGGGTTCGGGTCCCGGGCGTGCACCGACGCATTGCTTGTCCGGCCATGCTGAGGCCGCGTCCCACATACAGCAACTAGAAGGATGTGCAACTGTGACATACAACTATCTACTGGGGCTTTGGGGAAAAAAAAAAAAGAGAGGAGGATTGGCAATAGAGGTTAGCTCAGAGCTGGTCTTCCTCAGCAAAAAGAGGAGGATTAGCAGGGATGTTAGCTCAGGGTTGATCTTCCTCAGGAAAAAAAAAAAAGAAAAGAAAAGGAGAAGATAGGGCCGTAAGCGTAAACAGTGTGGCAAGATTTAGAATGGCTTTTGAGGAAACAAGAAAGGTTTTCCAACCCACAAAAGATCCACAGTAGCAATTAGAGGTAGCGGCTATAGGCAGGGACGCAGACATCAGGACAGGTGACAGTCTGAATGGAGAAAGGAGACATAAACACCTGAAGCAAATGGATAAGCAATATGTTATCATCCATTCAATAAAATACTATTCAGCCAGGAAAAGGAATGAAGCACTGACACTTGCTACAACATGGATGAACCTTGAAAACATGATGCTAAGTGAAAGAAGCCAGACACAAAAGGTCACATACTGTATGATTCCACTTATATGAACTATCCAGAATAGGCAAATCCATAGAGACAGAAAGCAGATTAGTGGTTGCTGGATGCCAGGAGGAGGGGCAATGGGGAGTGACTGCTTAAATGGGTATAGGGTTTCCTTTTGAGGTGATGAAAATGTTCTGGAACTAGACAGAAGTGATGGTTGCACAATACTGTGAATGTTCTAAATGCCACTGAATAGTACACTGTAAAATGGTCAAAACAGAAAATTTTATGTTATGTGTATTTTAACACATATACACAGCCAACCTAAAGCAGCATGAAACCAGTCAGGCCACCAGGCAGGAGACTGAATGTAAGAGTGAAGAGTCAATAGCAATTATAAGAACAATCTTCCTAATCATCAGTTATCAAGAAAAGGTAAGTTATGTTAACTATTAGGTTGAACCATATGAAATTCCAGAACCAATAGCAATTTCATATGGTTCAATCTTATATATTCTCTTTTAAAAGACAAGGCCCTCTATACGACATTTTATAAAGATTTCTGCCATTGTTGACGCCAGATAAATCAAACACTTCTGCCTCTCACAATCCTAACTGATCCTGGTTGTTGCCCCCCTTTTCCCCTTAAAATGAAAAATCCCACTTGGGAAAGGTGACTTAATTTTCATTAGAAAGGAGAATGTCAGATAGGGAGAGCAGACAACAAAGAACGTACACGTGTGGGTTCTGTTTCTGGCTTTGCCAGCTCTTTTCTCAAGGACTGTAAGCAAATAGGTGAGCCCTTTCAATTGGTAAAATACTTCCTTTAGAGGGGCACATGATGCCCACTTGTCAGTCAAGTCAAATGGGGGTTTCTAACGAAGAACAGAACTATTATCACTCTCCATCTTCAACCAACTAGTCCTGCTTGTTATTAACTCTCTTAATTTAGAATTTCCTACATTATCTTTTTTTTTTTTTTTTTTTAGAAGGAGATCAGCCCTGTGCTAACATCTGCCAATCCTCCTCTTTTTTTGCTGAGGAAGACTGGCCCTGGGCTAACATCCATGCCCATCTTCCTCCACTTTATATGGGACACTGCCACAGCATGGCTTGCCAAGCAGTGCATCGGTGCGCGCCCGGGATCCAAACCTGCGAACCCTGGGCTGCCACAGCGGCGTGCGCGCACTTAACTGCTTGCGCCACTGGGCTGGCCCCTACATTATCTTTTTAAAGTGATGATAAACAGAGAGAATGTTCTACAAAACCACTGTCACAGGGAAGCAGGGATTCTTTTATTTCAATAAATAACCTCACTTCCAAATGACAAACAGGAAATAAAACGGCCCTCATCATGAAGGGAGCTTCTCAAGGAAGCAAAAATCCTTAGCCAGTAATCCCAGTGAGATCCTTAAGATGCAGAACAGATTCTGAGATGTCTTGGATTTTCTAAGCAAAACAAATATGAGGCAGAAAAAAAATACTAGTAGAGAGTGCATTTTTATAGCACTGTCTGACCCCATCTACCACAATCCTAGCTCATGGGTATTTTTTTTATCTTAACAACAATAACTATGAAGTAAGTAGAAGTAAGTTTTATTCTCAATACAGGAGAGTAGCAGGGAAACGCGCTTCCAAGTCAATCAGACGCGAGTTCAGATCTTGGCTCCCCACTGTCTAGCTGCATGCCTTTGGCAAGTCATTTCACTTTTGAGCCTCAGCTTCCTCGTCTACAAAATAATATCACTATCTCAGAGGTATGTTGTGACGATTCTGTGAAACACAAGCAGCCAGCTCAGTAAATGTTCAGTGAATTATGGTGCTACTACATAAAGGAATCAGATAGAACTTGGGTCCTAGGTCAGTATTTCTCTCTCCCAGGTCAATCTAGCCTCTGCTGTCTCAATTTTAGAATAAAACACTAAATATTTCTATAGCACTACAATTAAAATTCTTTTTTTAAAAACTAGGGTTTCTGCCAAACACTGCGGCTCTGTAGTATATTTCTGAACATAGCTGATCGATAGTTTGGCTCAACTGTAAAAAGTAACGAAGTAAAAATCTGTAATTTTATGGAAGTAAACAGTCCTCTAGATTCTTGGAGATTATACACTAAGAGTAATAGAGCTCAACGAATTAATCAGTCTTTTTTAAACTAAGGTTGCTTCTAAGTTATTTTAAATGGGTGATTCTCGCCACATTTTTTTTTTTTTTAAAGATTTTATTTATTTCTTTATTTTCCCCCCAAAGCCCCAGTAGGTAGTTGTATGTCATAGCTGCACATCCTTCTAGTTGCTGTATGTGGGACTCGGCCTCAGCATGGCCAGAGAAGCGGTGCGTCGGTGCACGCCCGGGATCTGAACCCGGGCCGCCAGCAGCGGAGTGCGCGCACTTAACCGCTAAGCCACAGGGCCGGCCCTCTCCACTCTTTTGAAATATATTTATATCAAGGAGAGAATTACATGTAATCTTTCTTGGTAATCTATATCATTTTTAACAATCTCTATCATCCAAGCCTATGTTTTCGTTCACACCCACAGTTTCCCTCTTCTGAGTGAAACACTACTATAAGGGGCACAACAACCCCATTTTTTGAAGGGAAGTCACTTTCTTCCTTCTTTCTTGCAGGTACTGTTCTCTAACACCCTTCGGTCACTGATTCTCAAGTTTCTAGTCATAAAACCTTTTCAAAAGGAAGGTAATTCAAATCCCAATATGCAAAAGAGAGAGAGCTGGAGGATGGAGAGGAGCCCTGAAAACCTCTGCCCAAAGAGTGATAACGCTTCCTTCTGAATCCTTTCCGGTCTGAGCGACGGAAACAGAAATGTAATCAACAGTAGAGTTAGGGTCACAACATCAGAAGAGAGGATGATCTCTGAGTGTTGCTCCCATTTATGGAATCCACTCTCTCTCCCAGAGATGTTTAATGAAATGAGATAAAAGGAGATGAACAGACTTAGCACTTAGCCAAGATCCTTCTCCTGTAAATTCTTACAGACACACTGATGAGAGAGCTACCCAACATTTTAGACGCTCTTGTTTGTGCCAGGAAAAAAAGAACCTCATCTGGTCAAAGAGCTTCCATTTTTCATGAACTCCAATATCTCACATGCGGATCAGAGGAGAATGCAGTGACTCTGTTTAAGTCAACCCACTTTGATTCTCTTCCTGACCCAAATCAGAAGACGACCAACATCTCATGACACTATTAGCTGAATGTGGTTGAGCAAATTACCACCTTCTTTGTGCTTCTGTTCCCTCTTTTACAAATGGGGATAACGATAGTGCTGTCTCCTAGAATAATTGTAAAGATTAAGTGAGATGATAGCTATCATTTATTTGTGCCTGGAACATAGTAAGAGCCAATAATAATGTGAGCTACTCTCACCAACAGCATCATCACCACCCTAAAGTCTGGAGAGATGTGCCTCTCTTTCACGAAGTAAGAAAATGTGGAAAGCAGTAATGAAGACTTCCAAGTCTAAAATCAACTCTCTAAGAAGTGCTTTCACCACAAACCGCACCATGTCAATGGGTATTCCATACAATTACCCCAAATTACTCCATGCCAAATGAGAATTAACATTTGCAAAATATGCTGGGGGAAAAAAATGTTTTTCTCTTGAAGTACAATGCAAGAATTAATGACTACATGCTAAAATTCTCTTAAAAATGTCATTTTGAGCCTCTGCTCTGAGGTCAGATGTGAATAACAACCTAACACTTGATTTAACTGTTAAAGAATAAAAAGCAGAATGAAGCATTACTCAAAATCAGCTTTGTTTCAGTGTTTAATAAATTTGTCAGAAACCTTTATAATTTAAATACAGAAGCAAATGGGTTGTGGTGAGCATACGGGTCATTCCAGGTGTAACACATATTCCATATATCAATGCACATGAGTACACATATATACACATTTCCACTAGGAAATGTTTAAATTTTTTTTTAATTTAAAGAAAAGCAGAGTTCTATTTAAAAACAGCTGCCAACCCTCATACCAAATCCACATTCTTGGAATCTGTTTCCTCAAAACCAATTTTGATGAAAGAAAAAAAAAACCTTAGAGAAAAATAATTTTGAAATCCAAGCAATAGTAGAGAAAAAATATTGTTCCTTTCCATTTAAATGCATTGCTGTAAGATTATCTGATAAAGATATTTTCTACTTGCTGCAAGTTTTCAGTGTTTTTTTTTTTTTTTGAAGGACCTGTCAACTCACTCTTACTCTAGGTCCTATAGAAGGATGCTTGAAAACAAGGAGACACATAACACAGGTAACTTGACATCCCATTTGGAACAACCTGAGCACATCGAGCACATCTCTGAGTAGCCTCCAAGTGCCCTGCCAACAGCAGCAGACGTCAGCACAGTAGAGCTAGGAATGCCCACCCAAGGCCCACTGACCTTTTGATGACTTGTGATTTCGTCCCTGCTTCTCCCCAGCTCTTCAGCAAGTTTAACGTTCTCTTCTTGCAACGCTGAAAGCTGCTGGGACTTCTGAGCTGCTGCCTGCTTTAGGGTTTCTCTGCAAGGACAGTGAGTGCAGGGTTACCATAGAAACAAGACAGGCAAGGAAACTGTGGGAGACAACCAGCTTCACAGCACTGAGGAAAATATATCTGGGTCACGTGCCTGATAGGATCTATAATAACAGGAGACAGTATTATCTACATGCAGGAGGGGAAAAATGGCTTTAACCTCTCAGGAGGAGGACTGCCAGCCACAGTTATTACATTTTTTTAAACCTAATAAACACTACATCCACCCTCTCACCACCCACACTTACCCCACTTCTAAACGCTCCCCATAGAAAAGCAATGTTACTATAAAGTAAGTGACGAATGAAACGGTCAGTATTCCTTGTCTTTAGGACTATTCTCATTTAGAAAATGCACTAAAACTCACTACATTGATCAAGTCATTTACTTTGCTGCCAAGGCACTCTGTTCTAACTGCACAGATCTGTAATCCGTTTTTTTCTGGCAGAAATAAAAATCTAATGGCCCCATTTGCCAGTATCTATCAGAGTCAAGAGCTGGCGTGAATCTGAGTATATTTTTAGAACAACTCGAGGTGAAATGCCCAAAGCAAATGCAGTTTTCTAATTACATAACAAGTGTTCTATTTTGATTGTATTCTTTCCACAATGCTAATCTGTAATTAAAAACAGCAAATAAAAATATAGCCCGCTAACCTATATCATGACTAACAGCATATAAAATGTGAACAGGGTGAGTATATTTATTAAACATATTCCCACTATTAAAATTAATCAAAAATATACATCCCAAATTATTATCCTTTACATGCAAATATTAAAAATATTTTATTTGATCATTGGATTTTGTTTTTATGCCATAGAAGGCTTTGATGCAATTATGAATTTTAAGTCTGTGCTGGCTAAACTCCATTTAGTGAGCTGTCATACGTGGCTGAATTCTGAATCAAGTCATCTGGGTATGAATCCATCTGCTGATGCATGAACACATCTATTTTTAATTTCAATTGTCTAATGGGTGGCAGTGCTTGGCATCTTCAGTTTTCTGATTTTTAATTCTCCATCCATCTATACTATGCATACTGGGATGACCTTATGAAGATTTAGGGGAATAAATCTACACAAAAATTCTCTTTCCCAGAGATGTTTGTTTAGCAAGTGAAGAAAAACTGAGAGGAAATTTTAGCCTCAGGTAATTAGTCATTCCAAAGCTGGAAGCCTTTATTTTAATTATGGATTAAAATATACACATGCACACGCATATACACATTACAGCTAAAGTTCATCGTCTGGCCAAAGTCTATCAGCTCTTAACAAATCGGAAGATTTTACTTATGATGAAATCATCATCAGCCAAACAACTTATTCCCAGGCAATCACTGCCTTCATTAGGGGCTGTCTGGTCTCAGCATTTGCATGGCCTGTCAGTGATAAGTATGTGATCCAGCTCTTTCTCTCATAAAAATTTTCATCTTCTAAAGTTTTTTAAATCCTGATTTCTATTAAGAGCCCACAGTAAGGAAAATTAAAACAAGGATTCAAAGAAATATCAAAATGTCCTCAAGTATTGATCTATAACAACAGCATTTATTCAATGTTTTAAAATCTACAAAATGCTTTCATATACATTTTCTCCTTTAATCCTCAAAGCCCAAAGAGGCTAATATTATTTATAGTTTATTTATTTTTTTTTTAATTTTTATTTATTTATTTTTCCCCTAAAGCCCCAGGCGATAGTTGTATGTCATAGTTGCACATTCTTCTAGTTGCTGTATGTGGGACGCGGCCTCAGCATGGCCGGAGAAGCAGTGCGTCTGTGCGCGCCCGGAATCCGAACCCGGGCCGCCTGCCTTGGAGCGCACGCACTTAACCGCTAAGCCACGGGGCCGGCCCTATTATTTATAGTTTAAAGATGAGAAAACTGAAGCTTGGGGAAGTGAAAAGATTTGCCCCAAATCATGAAGCCAGTAAGTTGCAGAAGCAAGAGAACTGTAGCTAAAACTGGCAGATAGACATTTGAATATAGAAACACCTTTCAGGTTTTCTTTAGAGCATAATGGATACATGCATTTCATAGAGGAAGGAGGCTCCAATAGCCCAACTTCTGGAAATACTCAAAGGAATAATTCTGAAAATATCTACAAATATATTCCTAATTTTTTAAGCTACTTTTCTTTCCACACAAGATATCTTGAAACAAGACTGTCACAGTTTTAAAACTGAGAGGTAACATAAATATTGTTAATATTGCCTTGCAAACATTCTACTTACGAATATATCAGAAATCTATTAATTACCATGCTAAATATATTCTAGATTTATTACTGTGCCAGGTAAGTAAAGACAAAAATTAGATTACTTAATATGGTTTTCCCTAAGATTTAAAATTATACACCACAGAGAAACCATTTTATTCTCTCTCCATCTGAAAATAGGAGCAAGGGTTTTCCTAAAACCAGTGCAGTAAGCAGCATACAGGAAGAGGAACCCTTGGTTACAGCGCTGGGTTCCCAGTGCCAAGGGCACTATTCTCTAGGAGGTGGTTCCTATGAGAGCTTCAGTGTGTACACTGGTGTCCCTTTTCTTCTAGGAACTGCAGTCCTGTCAGGTGAGGAGAAACACCAGAAAAGCTCTCGAGGACACGAAGAGCCCCAGATACACGCTAAACCACAGAAAAACAGCTGCTTACTCTCTAGCTTTGAGCACTGAAGAACTAAGGAACAGTAAAATGACTGTTTTTTTGTGTTTTGAGAAGCACTGTTCCCATTACATGGTACATTTATATCAGATGGTCCTTGAAATTTGGCCAATTCTAGGGCAGAGAACAATGAGTCACTGGGGGCAGGGGATCTTTCTACCTACTCCTCATAGCTCCCTCCACCAGCTCTGTTGTCTGTCACTGGTGTGTTTCCCACTGTTCCTCCCTCCCACTAAGAATCCTGGCCACTGTGTATCGAGTTACAGAAGACGTGATCCTCTGGGTCTGGTAAGGCAGAAAAAAGGTAGAGAATCAAAAGCGGCCCAGGCTCTGTCTGCCCTGTGGTCTGGTTCCTTCTTGCCTGAACTACTCCCCTCAGGGATCAGAAACCTGAGGAAAGCAGCTCCAGGGAGGAACAGAGGCCAAGGTCAGAGGGACAGCAGCAGAGGCCACAGTCTTTTGCCTCCAATCCTTTGTGTCCATAGGCATGAGGCTAAGCTTTTATTATTCAGTGAGATCATTCAAAGAAGGGGGCAAAAAAACAATTTACCTCTTAATAGAGGTGAACCCATCCTATACTAACTGGGGGTGGGTAACATGACAGATTTACTGAGGATGCTGAACACTTAAATACCAGACCAACATAATGACCATTACACGAGTCTCCTAGGTTGTACTGCAGGAAGAGGAATTGTATGCAACTCCCAAGAGCTCTCTTTGCTAGGTCCACTCTGGCCCTGCCCCCTGCATTACCCTAGTAAGGCCCAGAGAGCTCAGAGGCGGGAATATGGCAGTGGGAGGTTGGTTAGGGAATCTTCTCCTGCTGCTCAGATCCTCCCTCACCAGCTGCCTGTGTGACACAAAAGAACTAAAGTCAACGTAGTGCTCCAAAACGCTCCAGGTTAGCTTAACAACTTGTACCACGGGGAAAAAATCCTCAACTGTGACTGAACCCACCCTCTCTGAACTGATACTGAATTTGTTTTTCCCGTCAGTGATGACTGTCTATTTGTGTTATTTGGCTTTTGCAGGTCAAGAAATTTAAGCCTCTCCTGATGTCTATAATCACAGTTGTAAACTGATAAATCTGTGGATGTAAACGGAACTGTTGGGAACTGTTCAATCATCTAGAGAAGAATCATTAGAACTAAGACTGAGGAAGGAATCAATCATCACACATCATGAGTAGCTCAGATGAGACTATATCTAAGGAGGATTTTAAGAACTCTCAGAAGAACTACACATATACCAGTTTAATCCAAGCTTGATCAACAAATAGTACTAAGGATGGTGACTTAGGAACGGCAGTTTGGAACTGCTGCTTTTGTTTTTGTTTGAATCTCATCTATTTGATCAGAACTGGAAATAAATAATATAAACCTTTGGAGGGCAGGAACTACATATAATTCATCTTTGTATCCTTCCTAGCTTCACTGTACCTAGCATGAAGGACATACTCAAATGTTCACCAGATTAACTGACTTGAAACTTTTAGGTTCACACAGTTGATACAGTGAATAGATAAGTTCTCAGAATAGATAAACAAAAGGAAACCTCCACTGTAACTATCATTTAAAATGCCAGATAAATAACAATCTACAATAATTATAATAACCAAACTTGAAAGGCAGTGTCGACAAAGGAAACACGGACAGCCTGTCTGCCTGAAATCTAGGCAGCAGACTCATGGGTAAGCCTTAATTAGAAAGGGTCTTCCAAAATTCTGCTCATTTAATCTCCATGCAAGATTTGATTACTCTTAAAATCAAGATTATTGACCATCTCAAAAATGATATGCTTTTCTCTTTTATAGAAAGAGTTTTGAGGAATTTATTAATAAAGAGTCTGATGTTTCCAAATGTCAAGATTAGCTATCGCATAAGCATCCTACTTTTAAAAACTGTGATTCCACTTGTATTTTCATAAGGCTGTGACTTTCACAAAGTCACAAAGTCACATTTGAATCCCAAATATCCTAAACTCCTCAGCCAGCACACATTTCATTTTGATCCTTCAACTTAGCTATAGTTCTAACCTAACAGTGGTTATAGGGGTAGTTACTTCTCAGGTATGCAATAGCATTTCAGTGGCAGGAGGGTGACTATTACTTTTTACTTTATGTACTTGTCAAGTAGTTTTTAAATAATTAGCATTGTTTTCACTTTTGTACTTTCAAATAAGTTCCATAATTTTTCTCCAAGGAAGTAAACTTACATTTCTTTCCTGAATTCTTCCATTTTTTGATTCTCTACAGTCAGAAGTTCTTTTGATTTGTTCAGCTCTTCCACATTTTTCAAGTTGTTTTCTTTAAGTGTATCCAACTTAAAGACGAAGAGAAAAAACTTGATGAAATTATTTCATTTTCCAATGACATGACTGGATAGACAAATTATTCATGAAAATGCACATTAAAAAAGTAGGTGAAATTAGTCACTTGCAAAAAGAAAAACAAGTCACCCGGGTGAAGAGATTACAAATGACTAAGTCTATTATAAACTGCAAACCACCCCCTTACATTTAGTCAGAAATCTCCTGTACACCTGGCCAAAATGTCAAACTAAATTGCTACATAAATTAAAAGTTTTCTTTCCCCTTGTGTACATTTCTCAATATTTATCATTGTACTTGCTATTCATGTATGATCCATCTTAAAAAAAATACATGAAATAAATTGCAAAGGCATGAATAACATCAACAAGGATTATCCTTTGTAATGAAAACAAACCCCTTTCCTTCCTCATAGATTAATAAATTAGGATATTTTTCAATGTCAGTACCAAATTTATATAGTCCTCATGACAAAAATTATTTGAATCAAAATATCTGTAGATGGGCAAAGAGATTCAACCATCCATCTGAACTTCAATCCAAAAAGGAAAAAGCCATGTAGTGAGACTGAAAGGCACTCACACACATTCAGCCCCATCATCTGCCCACAGAGGACGAAGCCAGCTCAGAGCCTGGCCCCCGGTGGGAAAGCCAAACACATTACTGGCATGAGTGGGGATGTAACCAACCACAGGCCCCAGCAGGTGGCTAGAGTTCTAGGTCCAGAGCCCCCACCAAGGACCGGAGCTCAACAGGCGCTATCCATTACATAGGGTGTGCCCCGGTGCCATGCTGGCTTTCTGGGACTTGTGTAGTTATCTCCTACAGCCAGAGATACTTTTGCCATGTCATATGCCAACCGTCAGGAGTCCCAGAAAGTGTCTTGCTGGTTTTAACACCACCATCTTCCTTTCAATGCCCTCTAACATTCCAGAGTCACAGAACAAGAAAAACAAAATATCACAATGGGTCCAAAAAATGATTCACCGAGTCTTGTGGTCTGGCTGTAACAAATACACTAAAGGGTATGTTACAGAAGCACACAATTCTCTCTGATTCTAACCTCAAAGGTTAGAGACATTCCCTAAAATCTTCTCATTTACTTTAGCTTCTAATTTTGACTATCATCTATGATTTCTTAATGTTTATTTTCAGCTTAAGTTGTCTTCTCTTAGGACTGTCAGTTCTATAAATGTACTCCCTTTATCAAGTTTTATTTACCCTGTAATTATCTTAAATGTTCACATCTTTATAGATTTCAGTCTTTGACCCTCCACACTGAGAAGGCCCAGTCTTTGTAATAGCTAGTCAATGTGGCTGTCCCCTCCCTTGCTTTAATTCATTAATGTCTTACCTGCCTACCACTTTAAAAAGCATTCTGAAGTTCTACAGAATTTCATATAACTATTTCGGTGAATCAATCTGCTTAGGATTTAGGTAACAGCTTTCCAAAGAAAGAAAGGGTTGGTATGAGTTGGGAGGGTGGGAGGAGGGGAATCAAACAAGGGTGCAAGAATGAGAAATGCTACTTTTGGACAGAGTCAAAATTATCTTAACACCACAAATTTGTCTGAGACCCAGAAGTGACTAATTCAAGATGACACAAAAGGGAACCAGTACTGAAGTAGGACAAGAAAAGGCCTACGTCAAACTCAGGGCTGAGGAATGGAATTCAGTGGCTCAAAGTTGGGAGACAGCTGAGAAACAAAATGTATGCAATTTAAGATAAAAGATACAAAAACTAAAGAGTGTTACCAGTACCGCCTCTCATTAGTTCTGTCACTGAACAATATCATAGAAAGCTATGCAATTAGGGTTTTCCCCTCATTCTTTTAAAGGTTGATCCTACTAAATAAGCAATTAAGTAATACACTTTATTTAATATTATCATGGTTCTGGTGTACATTCGCCTCCACTAATGCAGATCAAACCCGCGTAAGGCCACAGTTCAAAAATAAACAATCCTGAGTTAGTCATCAAACATTCCATGAAGTCGATAAGCTGTCCTTTGTACAAAAAGCCATTTAAATCTGATTACTTCATTCTGTAGTTTTTCATTTGTTTGCCTGGTATCCTCCAAGGAGGCTAGAGTTTCAGTCTTCTCTTTGGTCATCTGTTCCATTATCTGCATGGCATCTTCTGCTGTTTGAGCAGCCTAAATACAAGAAAGCACTGTGAGAAATGAGGACACCTCTCACCAACCCCATCAGGCAGCGCTCAGGCTGTGCTGCTCAGGCAGCGCTCCGTGTCTGTGTGGTTACAGAATCACACAGAGAGGATGATGCCAGAATGAACAGACCAAGACATGAAAGGTCTTTACTTTGAAGTAGAACAAAGTTGCAGACCCTTTTCATGTCATTTTTCAGTAAGCCAACTGTAATATGCAATTCGCATATTTTCAGACCCCTATTAACCTACATCTTCCAATGCAAGTTCGAAGTTAAGCTGACAGTCATGCGCACCATTCTGACTTATGTTTGAGAGAACCGTTCAGTGATAATAAAGAGTAACATCCCTACAGAGCTGAATTTTCTCTTAATCTTATTTATTGTTATAAGTTTAAAATACTATTCTTGCTATTTCAAATTTGGGCCTTTTGAAATCACTCAGAATTTAGGTTGGGAATTTTTCCAATAAAAAAATAATTATTTGGGCAATTATAACGTAAGGCTCAAGTGTTTAATGAGAAGCATTGAATGGAAAGGTATATGAGAAGCTGTGGGTAATGAATATAAACATGGCTGTGAATAAAAAAGATAATATGCATCTGGAAACAAATCCTTAGCTGATAAGATAGAAAAAATAATCATAAAAATGAATTAAAATCTTTTTAGGTACTTACAATTTCATTTGGTCTAATAAAGCTTATGGGAATTCTACCTTCCTTATATGGAAATTTCACCAGAATCTTCCAACTCCAAATGGACAGGCACAATGAAACAGTTAAAAGCCAAACAGAAGATATGATATTTCATTACGTGCCCATTTTACTATTGTTCTTAAGCCTTTAAGAAACACAGTTGACTTTTTTACGAAAATTCCTCAAATTAAAAAACATACCCTTTTTATTCACAGTTTATACTTTTTTCTAATTGAGAGAGACTATTGCAATTAGACATTTAGTAAAGAACTGCCCTTTTGGGTGGTAAGAAACAGCTTGAGACATACAAGCAACCGATTAAATGGGGTAGGATCTCCTTATGTGTAAATGAAGACAAATCCCCTAAACCACTAAAAAGTTAGTGCAGTGTTAGTAGTCCAGTTGCTCAATACTTGAACCTCCCACTTTACCGTAAATGACTGAAGAGTCTCGAGCTCTCTAATTTTAAGAGTGAGCTTGCTCTTGTCTTTCCTCAAAATACGGTTTTCATTTTGAGATTCTAGGAGATTGGCTGAAATATGGCTGTTGGTTTTGGCCAACTGGCTAATCTCTTTCTGAAGGATGAAGTAGCTTTCTGCCAGCTTTTCCTTCTCCTTCAGGAGCTCGTCCTTTTTCAGTATCATTTCTCTTTTCTCAGCCAGGAGGTTCTTGTTGTCCTGCACCACCTTGGCTCGATCGGCCAGTGTCACCTCGTGGTTCAGCCGGAGGTCATCCAGGATCTTGGTGAGGTGGCTGTGCAGTTCCTGCAGTTCTAACTTGGATTTGGACAAGGCAGCAAAATCACTTTTCAGAGTCTCTATATTGGCAGCGAGTTGAGCCGTTTCTGCACTCAAGAGTTCCTTTTCCTTAATTATCTCCGCCACTTTTTGCTCTGATTTGGTCTTCTCTTGGATTAGTACAAAATTTTCAGACTGGAGCTCCTTAGTACACACTCTTAACTCTTCCATCTCCTGCTCCAGGAGCACCATTCTCCTGTGGAGTTTATTGTTTTCATACAAGGATGACTCGTTTTCCTTTGCTCTGGCTTCTTTTTCCAGGATTAAGGACTGCTGCATTGTACGGATCTCCTCACTTAATTTCTGACACTCTTCCTGCAGGTTTAACCCATCCCTCAGCAAGATGTTCTTTTCAGAACAGCAACTCTTAAGTTCAGCATTCAAACTCTCCTTTGCCTGCAACATGTTAGTGTGTTCTTTTTCTAGATTCTTTTTGGCATTTTGAGCTTCTTTCAGCATCAAAGAGAGATCACACTTGGTGGCTGCTAGTTCTTGGTTTTCTTTTTTTCTCTCTTGAAGCTCTTTCTTCAGAGCACCAATGTTGCCAAGTAGTTTCATCTTCTCATGCACAATGATTCTTCTGTTTGCAGACTCTTGATCATATTTCCTTTTAAGATCTCCTATAGCTTTGATGGAATTTTCTCTTTCTGCAAGTAAATCTCCATTTTGCATTTCCAGCACAGACTTTTCTTTCAAGAGACTATCATGCTGCTTTTTGAGTTTAGTAATTTTCTGACAAATCATCTCCTTCTCAGAAGTTAGGTAAGTGATCTTCTCATTTAGGCTCATCTCAACATGGGCAGCCTCTTCTGAGCATTTGTTGAGTTTTTCAGTGATGAGCCTATTTTCATTTAGAAGTTCTTCTTTTTCAGCCAAGAGCCTTCTCTCAGACAAGGCCAAGATTTCTTTTTCATGCAGAAGCTGGATGCACTCGGAATCTGTGATCTCTCGACTGGTCTTAATTTCTTCCAGGAGCTTTGTAAGGCTTGTATTCGTAGCCTGAAGTTGCATAGTCTCCAGCTCAGCCTTCCTCAGAGCTTTGCTGGTGTCGTCCAGCTGTGTGTGGAGCCCACTGGCTTCCGTGCTGAGCAGCTGTTTGACCTGAAGGGTGGCCTCTAGGCTAGCATTCAGCTTTTCCTGATCTTGAAGCAGCACATCCTTCTCAAACTGCAGGTCTTTGTTGTTTTGAAGAAGATTGTCTCTCTCTACCTTTAAGGCTACACACATGCTATCAAGACCTGACCGTTTCTCTAGAGCTGACTGTTTCTCAGCTGTGAGATCTTCAATCTCCTGCACCAAGGTTTTCTGATCTTTGACTAGCTCCTCATAAGAGCTCTGAAGCTTCTGAATAATTTCATCTTTATCTTTAGCCAAGGCAAGGTTTTCAGTAACAAGCTTCTTGATATGATCCTCCAGGTGATCTTTTTCCTCCCGATCCCTCTTAGACTCAGCAATCAAATTATCTTTGCTGAACTGGAGTTCTTCTACGACTGCCTGCAAGCTCGCTTTGGAAGCTTGCAAAGAGTCATTTTCCACATTTATCCTCAAGAGTTCTTCCTGCACAATATTGATTTCTTTAAGTAATTTCTCTCTCTCAATAGCCAAAGCTTCTTTATTGAGCTGTTCCTGCTGATAAAGCTTTTCAGCATTTTGCTTTTCTTCTAAGACTTTCTCCTTTTCTAAATTAAGAATTTCATTTACAGACCACAGTTTCTGTTGGTCTTCCTGAAGTAAAGTTATTTTGGCCTCCACCTCTATAAGCTTGGATAAAAGTGAACCTTTTTCTAATTTTAAAGTATTTCCCTCCTGTGCAAGAAGCTGCTTCTCTGATTTCAGACCCCTCAGCTCTTCTGACATTAGTTCAATTTCTTTTTTGGCTGATGTTAACAAATAAGTTAGCGACTACAGAAACAAAAGATGGAGAGAATGGAAACAAAATGAAATAAAGCAGACAAATGCAAGCCCAAATAACTTAATATAACCTAAATCATGAAAGTTAAAAAATTGTTAAAATAAATGTCACAGAAACTATCTGGATAATAAGGGAAAGAAACTAGATGAACAGAGCCCATAAAAGGATAATACAAAGCAAGTTTAGCTCTGCAAAGTACTGATGTATCTATTAGCTTATTTCATCTTTGAAACCACTTTTAAAATTATTCCAGTAGCTACCTAGAAGAGAAAAACAGTAGTCAGTAGTTTGATTTTGACACCAGGGCATAAGATTCTTTCCTGTCATTTGAATTATGCAATTACTTCTATCAAAGAAAGGATTCATAGAAGAATTTCTAAAAATACAATCCAAATAACTACAAAAAGTGAATATATTTTAACCAAAAGGGGGGTGGTAGGGTGAGAGAAAAATAAACTACTGTTTTTCAAACTAACTGCAGGATCTTACTTACCGAAGGAGAATCACTGGCCTAAGGCTGATTTAGTCCCAATATTACATATAATTTATTAAAAATACAGACTAACTTGCTAGGCTTTGGTGACTAAAACAAATGGGTTTTTAAAAAAAATGTACCGGTTTATAAAATAATTTGACCACGATGTCTATACCAGCAGTGTCCAGAACTTTCTGCATGATGTAAATGTTCTTTATCTACACTGTCCAATACGGTAGCCACCAGCCACATGTGTGGCTAATGAGAACTTGAAGTGTGGTGAGTGTGACTAAGGAGTTGAATTTGAGGGCCGGCCCCGTGGCTTGGCGGTTGAGTGCGTGCGCTCCGCTGCTGGCGGCCCGGGTTCGGATCCCGGGCATGCACCGACGCACCGCTTCTCCGGCCATGCTGAGGCCACGTCCCACATACAGCAACTAGAAGGTTGTGCAGCTATGACATACAACTATCTGCTGGGGCTTTGGGGGGAAAAAAAAAAAAAAAAAATCTTTAAAAAAAAAAAAAAAGAGTTGAATTTGTAATTTTATTAAAATTTAACTAATTTAAATTTAAATGGCCACATGTGACTAACGGCTACTGTACTGGACAGAACAGCTGTAGATCACTGGCTCTTAAACCAGGGAACACAGAAGCTTTGAGGGCTTCATGAAACCTCCTGGAATTTTATGTAAAACTTGTTGGTGGGGGCCGGCCCCGTGGCGTAGCGGTTAAGTGTGCGCTCCGCTGCTGGCGGCCCGGGGTTCAGATCCTGGGCGCACACCAAGGCACCGCTTGTCAGGCCATGCTGTAGCAGCGTCGCATATAAAGTGGAGGAAGACAGGCACAGACGTTAGCCCAGGGCCAGTCTTCCTCAGCAAAACGAGGAGGATTGGCATCGATGTTAGCTCAGGGCTGATCTTCCTCACAAAAAAAAAAAACCTTGTTGGTGTACACATAAACTTTCCTGGGGAAAATATCTTAAGGTTTCATCAGATTCTCAAAAGAGTCTGAAAGCCACTGCTGTTGACAAACAATGAAATCCAGAGAAATCAGATATCCAGACAACTTTGGAGGAGGAATAATCCTGGCATTTTAACCAAATGACCTTGGTCAAAAAAAAAACCTAGAAACAAAATTAATGAGACTTTACACAAACTACTAGAATGCTGTGGTTTGGTCAGGCTGCAACATTTTAAGCGAAACACTAAAAAACTGAAGTCTGTCCAGATAAAGGGAACCATAAAGACAAAAGGTCTGGAAATTATATCCAGTGTTAAATGGCTCATAAAACTGGAGATGTTTTACATGGAGAAGGGAAAGCCTTGAAGGCCAGCATGCAGAAGAGAGAAAATTTAGGCATCTTATATCTTATATACGTTATGTCATGGTCCACTTAATTAACGAGTTTTAAATGGGCTTTGTTTCAAGTTCTATGTATGTTCTTTTATATTTTCTTTCTACTAAACTCCTATACAAACATTTCTCTGACACATTAAAAATAGAGACAATTATTTACTTTTCTTTGAGCAAGTTAAATAGTAGTAGGAAAAAGTTAAATAATAGTAGGAGGGCTGAATTTCATTAAGTTACCAGAGTCAAAAACTATACTGGGGCACAGTACAATCCTGACACCATAAAATGAAATTCAATATATCAAGTCCCACTGTATTTAATAATAGGATGTTTCTTCACAGCCCTTGGATCCAGCTTGTCAGTAAGCTCATGGTGCCTTCCTGTGGATACATAAAAGCCCTCTCTCGAGTTCTCACTTGTGATTTTTTCTGTAAGAGCTCTGTTCCTCCAAACAGGCTCCATTCCCTGCTCCACTTGCTTCACTTGGCCTCTGCCCCTTGCCTTTCTGCAACATGTCTCTCCTCACCCTAGTGCAAGGTAGCAGCAAGACGGCCAAGATTAGAGGAACATGCTTTCCCACAACAAAGAGTCTATTACAAGCAGGCAGACAGAGCTCAGGCAACATACGACTCTTTGTGACAGCTGAGGACAAGCAGCAGAGGGGGTGACGGCTACACAGTACATTCAGGGGAAAGACTTGTAGCCATTACCATCCCTGAGAAGGAAGAGCAGCTGGGAGAAAACACTTGAAGCCATGGGAAAGGTAATTTACCATCCTGTCATGCACTCAGGTTAACATCTGTAAAGGCCAACTTAACTCATCCCATGTGCTGCTGCTTTCTAAGCAACCTTCCAGCCTTGATGTAGAACTCGAGCAACTGTTATGCAACAACATAATTCTCTCCCAGAACATACTTTGGCTTTGTCAGCTTGTTTTTTCAGTTCCACCATCTCCTGCAACAAGTCACTGTTCTCCTTCTGTGCAGCCTTCAGCCTCGCCTCTGTGTCCGACAGTGTCTTCTGTAGGTTCTGCAGGACTTCCTCATGCTTTGCCTTTGTCTGAGAACTGGCTTCTTCATATCTGGCTTTCAGATCTTGACACTGGTTGTGGCTAATTTCCATCTTCTTTTCCTGCAGAAACCCCAAGTGAAGGAATAAGTCATCTAGCCACATGTGTACTGTCCTCACCTTCCTTGCCAGTAAACAGTCCCATTTATTCTCTCCTTACCAGGTCCAACAATTTTTTCAGCAATTCTTTCTTTTCTTCCTCATGCTTTTTAGCTGCTTCTTGCTGGCTCTGTTCAGCTTTCAGAGTTACCTCCCCAATACTTTTCTGCAGAAAACTTGCATTTTCATTAGCCTTTGTAAGTTTTAGCTGTAATTCTTCCACATTTCTGGAACAAGTTTCAATACAAGGTGTCAGATTTTTCAAAAAAATGCTTTAAACTCTAGAATTATACTTAAAAGGGTACTATTAATAATAATTGTGTTGATGATTATAAATGTTATGAGTAATTAATAACATCTGACATAAGCAAAATGACTTGACTTGCCCTGAAGAATAATTTTAACAATTTTGATAGTTATAAATACATTATTTAAAGTAACAACTATTATAATTGTGAAGGTTTATTATTTTACGTCAATAGATCAATAAGGAAAAATGAGTGAAAAGTAAACATATTAGAGGAAATGAGAATTTAGAAAGTTTCAAAATTTTAGCAGACTAGATTATCAAAATCTCATTCTAGTGCCACTTAAGAACAGAAGATATAAAAAGTGACTATAAATAACCTAAAGTTCTAGGTTAAAGATAACCATGGTCGATAACCATGGTCGAACAAAGATGTAAAGAAAACGTGGACATTAACCTAAAAACAGGCTGTCAAGTGAATCCGAGGACGCAGGAAGGAAACTTGGGTGGTACCTCTGGATTTTACACTTATATAACACCTACAGAAATGGAACTTCTTGAAGGCACTGTGCACAACCAGCTGTGCAGCTGCACTCGCCTCACAGCAAGTTTGACCAGAGTTGGCCAACCAAGGCCCAGCTGCCAATCACCCACTGATGCTGAATTGTGGCAGGTGCATGGCTGGATGTGCACATGACTTTGCCAAGTATTAACACTTTCAGAATCAAAAGTCTAACGGTCCTAAAATGTCCTCTGAAAATTTCTGCCTTATAAAATAAAACATTTGATTTTTATATGGCAACTTTTAAAAGAAAAAAAAAATCAAAGCAACAAAACCTCAGAATAAAGACAACAACAGAGATTAAGATAAAAGAAATTTTAGCATGAGGAAGCACAAGGTCGTGATTAGGAGCAGCAAGGGCTCTGGGACCAGACTGCCTAGATCTGAAACCTCAGGCAAGTTACTTAGCCTCGTTAAGCCTCCATTTTTTTTTCTTTAAAATGGGAACAATAATACACTCACCTCATAGGATAGTTATGAGAATTAAAAAACATACTCTATATAAAGCTGTCAGCATGGTGCATAGCACACAGTAAGCCCTGAATAAGTGTTACCTATCACTACATTGAAATAGGTTAAAAATATTTTAACTGCTTGTAAAAGATGTTATTGCCATTGGTAAACTACTACCTTTTCTTTACAAGTCACCAAAAAGTCTACAATATTGTATCCCTTAGAAAGGTAAATAGTTGACTCAAAGATACACTGAGGTAATAGGGAAAGAAAGAGAGACAGGGAACTTTAAAACATAGCAATTCTGAAGAGTCTGGCTCCCCTCCCATCTAGATCTTGCTTCAGAGCCCAACCTAAAGCAGGTAGTCTTACTAACATTCATACATACCTTTCTTTCAGACGTAATTCGTCATTTATTTTTGTCAGCTGAGAAGAATTATCTCCAGACATTTTCATTATTTCTGTAATGTCATTTTCCAACTTTTCCTTTGCCTTTATCAATTGCTCTTCTCTTTCATCTCTCTCTCTAAATTTTGCCTCCATGTCTGAATATATATAGAAAAAGGAATAGCACTGTTGTGTTATAATCAACAAAAATTTACTGACTATATCCAGTATGCCAAGCCTTGCTCCAGGAATATGTGCATATAGCAATCTCTGCCCTCATGAAAATCACATAAAGAAAATAAATAGTAAAAAAGATAGTGGTAAGTGCTAAGAGGAAAAAAAATACAAGCAGAGAAAGGAGCTAGGAAGGAGTTGTGAGGTTAAAATCTTAGATAGGGCCTCTCTGAGATGGTGACATTTAAGTAAAAACCTGAAGGAAGTGAGGGAAGAGGACTGCAGGCAGAGGAAAAAGCAAGTGCAAAGTCCCTGAGGCAGGAACATGCTTGACATGCAAGTGTCAACAAGCAGGCCAATATGGTTGGAGTGGAATGAACAAGGGGAAGAGTAGTATGAGATGAAATCAGAGTGGTAAGAGGGCCGATGATGGTAAGGACCATAGCTTTCACTCTGAGAGAGATGGGAGCCACTGGGTGATCTTGAGCAGAGAAGTGAATGATCTGACTTGATGTTAAAAGGATTGCTCTGGCTGCTGTGTTGAGAACAGACAGAAGGGGCAAGGGCAGAAACAGGCAGACCAGGTGGCCTGCTGTTAAAGCAACTCAAATGAAAGGTGATGGGTGGCTTGGATCGAAGAGAGCAGTGGGAGTGGTGCAATGTGCTGGATTCTGACTCATTTGAAGACAGAGCAGAGAGGATCTGCTGAAGGTTACAGAGCTCAAACAAGTATTTTATCACAGTATGGCACAATAATGAGTGAAGAAGTTACACCTGAATAGTAGATATATTATTCTAACATATTACAATTCTCTCAAATCCTAGGAAGCCTACTGTATTTAATGTCTAGTAACCAGAGATATCTTCTTACCTGTTAAATTTTCTCTCAGCTTCTCCAATTCAGAAGATAGTGCGTTAAACTGTTCCTCTTTTTGGTGTAATTTATTGACAGTTTCTATTTAGGATAAAGTTAAAAATATATTAATTTCATATTTAATAAGCCACCTAGAGCTTGGCTCTCTTATAACCAAATCGAATCATACGCTTGAGATTTGAGATCACAGGGATACTAAAAGGTCCCATTACAAATCAAACTACTGTATAATGAACCTGAAGAAGCAAGCACGCATCTCTCTGCCTCCTCAAATCTGTGGACTAGGCAGGCACCAGGCATCTGCATTCCAGTCATCTCTTTCGTCCTTCCAATTAAAACTCATAAAGCTATCAACAACTAAAGCTTAAGTAAGATAATACTTTTCCCAAGTATATTTCCATTTTAATATGGAAAAAGCTTTAACTCAAAAGAAGAAAGACTTAATGCAAGTTTGAGGCTTCAAGAAGCCAATGGAATTCAGTATTACTGTGTACTGCAGGAGCTTCCAGGAGAGTGAAATTAGACTACAGGCAGCACCTACTCTGTGTACTCCCGGGGCCAGCTCCAGTTTGAGAACATATTATCTAAAGTGATCTGCTCAAACTTTACTAAGACATACCTTCCATACTTCTCTGAACAGAAACTGCCTCCTCTGCTGCATCAATAAACTTTTCTTTCTAAAGAAAAAGAATTAGATATTCAGAATAGAAAGATTTCAACTTATAAAAAGTTTCTATCAGTTGTAACTACAACACTATCTATTTTTTGTTGCTGGTTTTGTTTCATTAAAACTAACTTATACTTAAAACACACAGGCAATTACTACCATATGTACGTTGTGCAAGTATACGCACGAGTAAATGAGGTTTGTGTATGCGTGTGTGCATGCCTGGGTATGCGTGTGTATCTGTACACGTGAATGTGCATACTTATGTAGGTATATGCATGTGTGCACATACATGCGGTGCATGTGTATACTTTTTCTTCATGTTGCTACCCTCAAGTAGCAGACCTTCTCTTCAGAAATCTGCCTGAGACACTGAACAGAGTTCTGAAATGCTTTATATCTGAGAGTAATCAGAACCTGTTATCCTGAAACTAAATCTGTGCCAACTACTTCTTAAACAGAAAGGGCCATTGCTCACCCACTGTCTTTTCTAAACATGACAGTAGGCCAAGATAAAAAGCACTCTCCTGGATTTCCAAAATTCTCTTTCCTGAGAATTTTGAGCTAGATACACCAAGAGAATTTTTTTTTTTTGTGAGGAAGACCAGCCCTGAGCTAACATCCAATGCCAATTCTCCTCTTTTTGCTGAGGAAGATTGGCCCTGGGCTAACATCCATGCCCATCTTCCTCTACTTTATATGGGATGCCGCCACAGCATGGCTTGACAAGCAGTGAGTCAGTGAGCACCCGGGATCCGAACCTGCGAACACCAGGCCACTGAAGCGGAGCACGCGCACTTAACTGCTACGCCGCCGGGCCGGCCCAACACCAAGAGAATTTTTAAATGAGTACTCCTAACTAACCAGGATTACAAAAATATGGGCACATGAACTACAAGTCCATCAAAGCCCACAGGTCGTCCCTGTCCACCTGTGTTATTCCCAAAGCCAGACTTCAGGGGGCAGGTTTTTCTTCAGAGTATATAGAGGAATACACTAACTTGCAAAAAAAGTAAAGCATCCTAAAAGTTTGTGGAAGAGGGCAGAAAAATTATGTGAAACTCAAAACACATTTCCTTAAAGGACATCATATTAGAACCTGGTAATTCCCAGGCCAAGTTTTTCTCAAAATGTAGCTGAAATACTATATACCAGAACTGCTCGATAGAACTCTCAACGATAGAAATGTTCTTTACTGCGCTGCTCAATATGGTAGCCACTAGTCACATGTGACTATTAAGCACTTGAAATGTGGCTAGTGCAACTAAGGAACTCAATTTTATTTAATTTTAACTCATTTAAATTTATATAGCCATATGTGAACAGTAGCCACCATAATAAACAGTGCAGCTACATATTTAACATTTTAAAAAGTAGAAATTTGTGGGGCCGGCCCAGTGGCACAAGCGGTTAAGTGCGCGCACTCCACTGTGGCCGCCTAGAGTTCGCCAGTTCGGATCCCGGGCATGCACCGCTTATCAGGCCATGCTGTGGCAGGCGTCCCATGTAAAGTGGAGGAAGATGGGCATGGATGTTGGCCCACGGCCAGTGTTCCTCAACCAAAAAAAAAAAGAGGAGGATTGTCGGATGTTAGCTCAGGGCCGATCTTCCTCACCAAAAAAAAAAAAAAAAAAAAGTAGCAATTTGTAATATTGGTTTTTTTCTCCCTCTCTTTCTCTCTCTCGTGTGTGTACATGTTGTTGGGCTTCTTGGTTTGCTTGTTTTTTACTGATATACTATAGTTAAATTCACATAAGTTAATGTAGCAGTTAACAGTTTTTGTTGTTTTTGTGGAAGAAGATTCACCCTGAACTAACATTTGTTCCCAATCTTCCTCTTATTGTGTGAGGAAGACTCGCCCTGAGCTAACACCTGCCCCAATCTTCCTCTATTTTGCATGTGACGTGCCACCACAGCATCACTTGATCACTTGATGAGTGGTGTAGGTCCGCACCTAGGAACTGAACCCAAGCTACCGAAGCAGAGTGTGCTGAACTTAACCATTAGGCCATGGGGCGAGCCCTTGGTATTTATTTATTTTATTTTATTTTTTAATAATTTTATTTATTTATTTATTTTTCCCCCCAAAGCCCCAGTAGATAGTTGTATGTCATAGCTGCACATCCTTCTAGTTGCTGTATGTGGGACACGGCCTCAGCACGGCCGGAGAAGCGGCGCGTCGGTGCACGCCTGGGATCTGAACTTGGGCTGCCAGTAGCGGAGTGCGTGCACTTAACTGCTAAGACACGGGGCCGGCAACCCCTGGTATTTAAATAGGAAGAAAGATCAAACACTTTTATTCACCACTGGTGTAATAAGAAGTGTAATAAGTGGGGAGTAGGAAGGTATTTGGAGGATCTGAGACAACTGACCCTTCGTAACGAACGTACCCCTTATCTAGTTTTTCCATAAGCCTATGACTTTCCTTTTCCATGACGTGTGGGTATTGCTGGCACTGATCACAATTGTCAGCCTTGATTAAGCTTGAGTTTTTGAGGCAGGATGCAAGGTACAAGGAGAACGGTTGAGAAAAGACAAGAAAAAAATGTCTTACAACTTGGGATGAAGGGAAGAGGACACATATGGAAAAGTAATCTCCTGAGGTAGAATAAACTGAGTTGTAAGAGAGAATTCTTTGAATTCATTGAGTTTGCACCCTGCCTTGCCAACAGAGGGTGCTGATGGTCCAGGACAGCTTGCTGCCCCACACAGCCACAAAGCATGCAGGGGAGGATTCAAGGCCTTATTATAAATGAAACCTAACTGTGCTGGATGCATAACTCGGAAGGTTCCTGTGTTTATTAATAACATGCCAAAGCAATGCTTTACCAGAGACAAAGGAGAGATTAAAAAAAAAAAAAAAAAAAGTAATACCTACCTTTATTGCTAGTTTGGGTTTGAACCAATTCCCCTCAAGGTATTTATTAGCCAACGACTAATACACTCGATTTAAACCAACACTTTGAAGGAGAAAAGAAATAGGTGTAATACTTCTTTCTTTAGGGAGATTTTCGTTTTTAAACAGGAACAATTCAAATGGCCAGAAACCCTGAGATTCAGATTCCCAACAAGTAAGTACTTACCAAAATCTGAAGTTCTTTTTCCAAAGCCTCTTTCACTTGACTGACTTCACTCAAGTTTTCCTGAAGGTTATTGAGCATTAGCTCTTTCCCCTGCAGCTCTTGGGTAATGCTACTAGCCTACCGTACACAGTTATATGGGATAGAAGCAAATGAATAAAAGGAAACAAAAAAGGATGAGAAAAAAATAAAGCAAATATAAAAAATTTATGAGAAACAAACACAACCACACAAAACTGAAAGAAATAAAGGTACGGGTAAAAAGTCGTTTTGGGTTTGTTTGTTTGTTTAACTCTATGACTTTTCACACAATCAGTTCTAGATATGATTCTCTAATAGCTATTTTAAAATAGTCAAAATAGAGTATTTTTTATACCTAAATTTGGAATATCAGCATGATCTAAAGCAGAAAGTGCAGATGCTTACTTTCTAAATGAGTTAGTTGAGCATCTTCATTTTCCGTACTTTAAAAACCTTAAGATAGGAATGGTGGATACATGTCTGTGTTATTTTATATGCTTATATGTTTATACACAAAGTATTTTAACATTTAAAATATAAACAAAATTTTAAAAATGTACTAGACAATAGTCTTATTGGCTTTCATTAAACTGACGTAAAAAAGTAGACCAACCATTAGCTACATATTCTCTACTAATTAATTTTTGTGTTTCAACTGCTATTTCGGAACCAAATGAGGAGATTTGAGAAAAATTTCCTGTAATTAGGTTGTCATCTTCAACTGAGGTTGCTTAGCCATTTTTTGCTGTTTGTCTGTCCTCACCTCTCCCCATTTAACCATCATAACCTTTCCTTTTTTGCCAATAGAGTAACTTCTCCTGCAAAAAGTTCAGAACATTCAGCATTAATACCGGGAACTCAACTAGTGGCAGGAGGACTGGGAAGAAGTATTCATTCCTCTAACAGTCCTTAAAAATGCAGATGATGGGCACGCCCCAGTGGCCTAGTGGCAAAGTTGAGCACGCTCCGCTTCAGTGGCCTGGGTTCAGTTCCAGGGCACAGACCTACACCACTCGCCTGTCAGTGGCGATGCTGTGGCAGTAGCTCACATACAAAAAGAGGAAGACTGGCAACAGATGTTAGCTCAGGGCGAATCTTCCTTAGCCAAAAAAAAAAAAAGATGATGACATTTAACAAGGCTAGTTAGTAAGAAATGTAGCTGGCGAATGTTTCATATAATTTCCTTGATCTAAAGCATACTTGTCCAGTCTTCCCTCAAAAAAGGAATAGATCCTGTTTTCATTGTGACATAGAAAAAACTCCAATGAGACATAAGTGGCATTGCAAAGGGCTCCAGGCTCTTAACCTTAATTTTGCTGTGAATGTTATTTATCACAGCACGCTAACTTACAAAAGTCAAGTGGCACTCAGAGTTCACATTCTGTTTTTATATATAACGTTATGGACAAAATAATTACGCAGGAGGGAAAGGAGGAGATGATCTTCTATGTATAGTCTATCTCCTTCATTCAATTCATTTGCCTTAACACCGTCATCTTAGGGAGTTCTCTATTTTAGAAAGAGATTATAGACTGGAACCAAGCTTAAACAGGAGATCACACAGCATGGCCCAGAGATAAAGTAATAAAGTACCCAGACAACAGGAAACCAAAATAAGTTCACATAGTTGAGCTATTATTTTCTCTAATCTCCTCAGATGAAACCACACTCAAGGCACTCAGAAGATACTATACTCAACTGAGAAATTTGTTAGCAGCAAGCAATCTGTTTTAATTAAATCAGGAATTTGGAGGATGAATTACCTCAACTCAAAAATAACATAATGTAAAATATGAATAACAAATGGAAAATAAAAAGATGGAGATGTCGATACAAACCTTGCCACTTTCAGCATTCTTGTCAATCTCTAAATTTTTAATCTGTTTCTCAGCTGCCTCAAGCTGCTGTCTAAGTTGCTCGATTTCCGATTTACCTTCGGAACTGGCTTTCCGAAGTGCATCAAGATCCATGAGCTTTTCTTCGGTAGCCTTGAGCTGTGATGTAAAATTATCAATAACCTTGGTTTGTTCATTGCATTTGGCTTGTAGTGCCTCTAGCTCCTTTACCTTTATTTCAGCTTCCTGTAACTTGTTTAAGGTGTCTTCCATTTCTACTAGATGCTGGTCTTCTGCTTTGTCCAGTTTCGATTTGATGGCTTCCAGACTGTTCTCTTTCTCTTTAATGACTTGCATCAGTTTAGCCCTGAGGGCTTCTAACTCTTTAGCGTGAGCAGACCGTTCGGAGTCTTGCTTATTCTGCAAATTTTCTATTTCGTGCTGGTAATCTAGTCTCATTTTCTCTATTTGTGTTTTTAACTCAGCAAATTCTGCTGTCTCCGTTCCAACCCCCTTGCTGAAAGACACCTTCAGTTCCTCCATTGCCTGCTGGTGGGACGCGATGGCAGTCTCCAGCTTGGACTTCCACAGAGCTATCACATCCGAATTCTCCTTGTTGGCATGATCAAGCTTGCTTTTCAACGACTCGTTCTCTTTGGAAAGCTTCTCTGTGCTGACCTGAAGAGCCTTTATCTCCTTCTGGTGCGTCTCTTCCCGAGCTCCAAAATGCTCCTTCAGAGAAGTGATTTCTCTCTGGTGGTCAGTATGGGTGGCTTCTAACTTTTCTTGCAAAGAGCTTATCTCTTGCAAAAGGGAGAGTGACATATCAACATCCCCAGCAGGCTTATTGGACTCTAGCCTTCTGCGCAGCTCAGCTACTTCCTGTACTCTCAGTGCTAGGTCTTTTTCTAGTTCCATTATACGAGACTTTTCTGACACTGTAGCCACCTATTAACAGCAGTCCAAAGAAAAAGAGATCATTTAAATAACAAATCACTGACGATTTTCTTTAACCTTGAAGGTCTTTAATAACTACCCCATCTCAGGCAGCAGTCCAGCTACTACAAATGCCTACGTGTCAATCTACCTCTAATTGCAATAATAGCTTATACCCAATTCTGGGAGACCCAATTCCAAATTATAATCTTTGGCAAATTTCTACCATTTTGAGATGTTAAAGGGATCTAAAATTGATATAGAGTTTAACTCGCTCCAAAAATATTTCTTTTTCCTCTAAAGAAACTTAAATCAGGGAAGTATTCATTAACTGATAATAAGTTAATGGAAACAGTAACTTTCAAAGTTCTCAGATACATCTGAGAGATAAGAAAGAATCCTTCACATTTTGACTGTTTTTTCTACCCCACTTCACCCAGGGTGGATAAATGCTCATCAATCTGATGGAGGTGATTTTACAGACCATGCTGTCCAGTATAGTAGCCATTAGCCACATATGGCTACTAAGCACTTGCAATATGGCTCATCTGAAGTGACATGTGCTATAAGTATAAAATATACATCAGATTTTGAATACTTAGGAAAGAAAGAACATAAAATATCTTGTTAAGAATTTTTATATTGATTACATAATGAAATGATAATATTTTCAATACATTGGTTTAAATATATTGTTAATTTCATCTGTTTCTTTTACCTATTAAAATGTATGTTAATGTGGGTACCAGAAAATTTTCAATTATATATATATGTGGCTCATATTATACTTCCTCCTATTGCATAGCACTGTATATATATATTATATAGTAAAATTACCTATCAAATGTTTCAATGAAAATAGCATCAGCTGTAGAATAAAAGCCTCAATTGGATAATAAAGAATTAATTTACTATTAATTAATAAAGAATAAATTATTAATTAATTAATAAAAGGACAGAGTAAGAATGATTACTTACCTGCAATTATATATAAGAATCTTACACAGAGTTCCCTTTTCAGGTTTTATGATTCTATCAGCATTGTGATATACACGTCTTGTTCCCCTAACCCAGTGGTTCTCAGACTTCAGTGAACACAGGAATCACCGGGGATGGATGTCTAAAATGCAGGTTCCCAGTTACTCCCATATATTTTGATTCTATTTGAGCTCTGGAATAGTACCCGGGAATCTACTTTTTTAAACAAACACCCCAGGACTAGGAAAAACACTTTCTTAACCTGTCTCCTTTTATTCCTAGGATATTATTTCCCTCTGCTACCTGTTAGGCAGTCAGTTTAGTAAATAAAACATGGGAAATGGTAGCTTCAGGCATAAAAATTAATTATTTGACTAACCTGGGAAATAGAAGGTAACATGAATGATTTGAAAACACCAGTGAGTCCCAAATTCCAAGGATCAAAACTCCTCTAGACTGAAGACTCCTCTCCCACACTGCCTTTATTGGGACATAAAGTAATGGATGTGTGTTTCCTTCATTTCCTCAGCCCACTACAGGCTGTGATATGGATACAGACTAAAATGTCCACGAGAGGGCCGGCCCCGTGGCTTAGTGGTTAAGTGCGCGCGCTCCGCTACTGGCAGCCCAGGTTCGGATCCTGGGCGTGCACCGCTTCTCCGGCCATGCTGAGGCCGCGTCCCACATACAGCAACTAGAAGGATGTGCAACTATGACATACAACTATCTACTGGGGCTTTTGGGGGAAAAAAAAAAAAAGGAGATGTTAGCTCAGAGCCGGTCTTAGCAAAAAGAGGAGGATTAGCATGGATGTTAGCTCAGGGCTGATCTTCCTCACAAAAAAAAAAAAAAAAGTCCACGAGAGAAGCGGTAAAGAAAGCACTTGGTGCTCCAGGAGGGCATAATCAAGTCAGTGAATAGTTCAGAGCCAACTATAACTGCTGTGTTTCAGGGTTATAGGTGCTTCAGGTTACAGATGTTAATTCATTTACATACTTTTTCTAGGTGGGGGGGGGGGAGTCCAAGAGTTTGTTACCACAAAATAAGGTGCAAAACACTAACAAACCCTATTGCTATAAGGTCTATAACATGAGTAAATTAAATCCAATAGGGTAATAGTTCTTAGTCACAACAGTCAAACTGAGAAAACACCAAGCAAAAAATAAGTGAAAACAATAAAGAGTGTGATTATACCTTATGTAGCATTTTCACAGCACTTCTATTTTTTATTTTATTTCTCAAAGTCTGTCCTCAGACGAAACTATGTGTCTGCCTCTCCTGGTAGTTTGAGGCCATAAAAGTCAGGTATCATTTCTTATTCTTGCTAATATCTCTACAGCACCAAGCACACTGTTAATAAACTTGACTGATTGGCTTAGAGAAATTCTAAAGTGCTTCCTAAAAAGGAATGTAGGTGATATGAAACTTATATGCATCACTGGTTAGTTTCACACTTGGTAAACCAAGAGTGAAGATCAATAGAAGATACAAGTTGTTATAGAAAGGTAACAGCTTGAAGCTGAAATACTTGAATAAATCATGCTGTGAATGGATGCCTTCTTATCCACAGCAAAAAAAAAAAAAAAAAAAGCATCCAAGTTGTTTGCTAACGAAGCTGTATGGGAGAGGAGTTCAGAAGTAAAAAAATATCCTTACCTCAACAGCCAGCGACACTAAAGGAACTCAGTCTTATTGTTAGTCCCTTGTATTTCCCAGATCGTCTGGCTCTCAGCTAACAAAGAAACAGCACCAAACTACCAGGTTTTTTCTTACCAAATACACAGGAGATATTAGTTTTGAGGCCAACCGAGGATATTTTCTTTCTTCTTAAAACATAAAAACTTATGATTTAGAGAAGAAAAATTAATTATCTAGATTTTTAGATCAGTCAATGATTTTTTCAACAAGAGAAATTTCTACAAGTACTAATAATTCAAAAGAAAAAAATTAAGATATCAAATTTGATCAGAGACAGTAATTTTTGAAATTTTAAAGCTAAAGATCTGGGCAATTTAGCTATTGACAGTCAAATTCATGATTTAAAAGGTATATATGCATACATGTTTCCTTATATGTAAATGACTCAGATTATGTCTTAAATCTTTCAGCACAAAACTACTTCCAAAATAGACACCATCCTATGGTGGTTAAGGGCATAGACTCTGGGGCCAAATGGCCTAGACACAAATCCTGGCTCCACTGTTACTATTAGCTGTGTGACCTTGGGCAAATTATTTTACCTCTTTGTGCCTCAGCGTCCTCATCGGTAAAATGGGGACAATACTATTACCTCCCTCCTGGGGCTGTGGTGAGACTGAATAAGTCAGTACTTGTAAAGTGCTCAGAACAGTGCCTGGCACGAAGCAAGCACCATATAGGTGCTTTCATACATAAATAAGCAACAACATGACTATGCACTGGCTCTGAGGGCCAAACACAGTGAGCTGGGAGTTGTGAGAAGCCATTCTGTTCCCAACACACTTTTCCCTCCTGAGCACTGCGATTTTAATCTAGTGGGTGACAGAAAGGAAGGAAATGCAAAGAGAGATCAGGTATCAAGAAAAAACAATACCTGGGGTGAAAGTCCTTAACTCTCATTAAAAAGAGCCAATGTTTCAATTTCTTCCCCCAAGAGGCCAGGGAAGAAGGCAGGAAAACAACGATAAAAAATTACTTAGAAAACCCAGTAACTAGGAGTATGAGAATAAGAGGACAATTGACTGCTTGTGGCAAACTGGAGAAATGTATTTCAAGGATGAATACAAAGACTCTCAAATGCAGTTGTGGATGTCCATGCAGTCTATACAGTTGTGAAGTTTCTGATCTTGATTTTGGCTGAGTTAACCAAAGGAATAAATCTTTACCTTTGACAAAAGATTTGATATAAAACACCTGTGCCTACCCATCAGTCTAAGCTCACGAACACCTGAACAGTACTAAGACCAAACTTAGGTTGAACCACTGGGTCAAGGCTTAGGCCAAGTGCAAGGCATGTCACCCAAAGTGTCCACCACTCACATACATGGGTCTGCTTCATGAAATAGTGAAAACCATTACCCTAGTGTCTTCTAACTCCCTCTGGAGTTTGTCAGCTTTGGTCTTTTCAAAGAGCAGGCTCTGTTCAAGCTCCTTAATGCGGGCATGCTCCAGTTTGGTCTGCGTCTGTTAGTAAAAAGGAAGAGGAAGAGACACAACAGTGCCACCATGACATGCCAGCATAAGAGGAGAGAGAGCGGCATGCAGGCTGAGCCACCAGTACCTTCTGCCAAAGGAGGAACAAAAAGGGTAATGGAGAAGGGAAGAGGACGGAACTGAGATGAGGAGGCTGGGAGTGAGGATGAATGCTATGGAAGGATGAGGTGGGCAGGGGACATGAGCTAGTCTGATGAGAATGCAAAAACGAAAAACATATGAGGCAAGATGAAAAGTGTCAGATGCATGCAGCCAAATATAAGTATATTGATAAGTGAAGTTTATCAGCACAAATTAGAATAGTTAATATTCCTCTAAACTATCATTTTCCCCCCTCCCCACAACAGCTATTTGACAATAATGTGTATGTAACTGACTCGGTTACTTTAAAAAGTACATCGACCCTCAAAATGATCCTCGCTATCATCTACATAAGGAAAAGGTAACATCATAAATCTTCTAAGTGTTCAATGAGTCCCTAGAGCAGATCCTTGCACTTGGGCATACAGTTTGATGTGAAGAAGGGTCAAGTATTAAACCTAATGAAAGGACTCCAGAAACAAGAGCTAAGGAAATCACACCAATGCCCTTTGCTGACATAAGCAAGAAGACACTGAGATGCTAAGCAAAATTCTCACAACTGACAGGCGAAGAACCACTAAAGCTCTAATTTCCCTCCCACAGTGCATTTTCCAAAGGCTATTTGTCACCAGGGGAAAAAAAGGGAGGGGGGGAATCAAATTCACAAAGAGAACATTCAATAATAATTATGCTCGACAGCCTCCATCTCTGAGACTCAGAGCAGGAGAAAAGTTCAGCTAGAACTGGTGAGGGTTCATTATCTTGATCCTAAGATGAAGTAGTTCTTATTAGCTCAGAGGTAAGAAATGGTGATTCAACACAAAGGCATGAGTTGGAACTCCAGGCAAAATTGCTGTAAGATCCTAAAGTGAGACTCCTCATCATCACTTACTCAGACATAACCTGATGGAGAACCCAGAAGGCAATCTGTTTCTAACAAGTTTTAGTGCAGGAGAATCTTTATCAATTTGAAATAATCCAGATATCAGTCTGAATGTACCTCTTTCCCCACTCACCTGTCCTATCCAAGAGGTTATCAACATAATCAACTGATAAGACCTATTGACTGAGCTGCTCCCAGCAGTTTTAGTTACTCGCATTAATTTAAATATTTTATGGTTCTAACTGGTCAGATCTATTAGTTTAAACAATTACGGGCAATGAGAAAATGACAATAAACTCTAAAGTAAAGAAAGTCGTGCAGAGCTTAAATAGAAGGTGGAATGTTCTACATTATAAACATCTTTACTCACTCCAGTGATACTGTGGGGATTTCAATGTAGTCAAGAGGTCACTTTGCTTGTGAACCAGGTATAAACAATCATGGAATACTTAAAAGGTGAACAGAAAATTTTTAAAAAATTCTCACCAGCTTCAACTCTTTACACAACAAAAATAATGAAATAAAATTTAAATTCTATGTAACTAACTGTCTGGATAGTCTCGTTGGTCCATATGTGCCTTAGACAGAAGTTGTTCAATTTCTCTGCTTTTACAAGAAAATAATCTAATCCAGATCTACATAATTGGGGTCACAGCCTCAAAAAGTGAAATCCAAAACTAACAGGAAAAAACAAAGGCAACAGAACCTTTCTTCACCTCTTGACACTGAGTTCAGTGTCCTCTGGGTGAAAGATCACCACTTTCAGATAAAAAGCAAATATCCATTGAATGTGATCTTCTCCCCATTCCGAGATCTTCCAGACGACCGCAGCAACACCTCCTTTCGGGGTTGTGCCTACAGATGATCCGGGACTCCACAGAGCATGCGATCAATCATCCGCAAGGGAACTAGTGACCCACTTCCATGCCACGGTATGGAGTAAAAATGTTACACAGAACGGACAACCCTCCTTTTAAATTATTCCTTTCTTAAAGAAGGCAGAGTATCCCAGGAGAAAAGTCCTGAGACAGGGCGCTGAGAGGGAAAGCAAAGGCTCTGGAGAAGCGCACGAGAGAGGCGGAGGGAGACCCCATGCAGACTGACACCAGCAGCAGCGGAGCCTGTTTGAGAAGGAGAGAGGAGACCCAGAGCACTGAAGTAGCTTCACAAAAAGGAAACCTTCAGAACGGAGGCTTTTTTTTTAAAGTTAAGTCTTGAGTTGTCTAGTTCAGTTGCCAGGAGGTGGTAGGAAGAACAGTTCTTTGTTTAAATTTTGTTCTCTTGTGGTGGTAAATCAAAGTAAAAAGTTTTTAGGGCCTTTCAATTGGCATCACAGCTGGCAGGGTGCACGGGGAAGCCATGGTCTCAAGGCCAGTTTGGTAAGATCTGAATTGGGTGTTTGATCTTAACCAGAAGGAGGAAGGAAAAGAAAAATACCCACATGTCTAGTAGCACTGCCACTAGAAAAATCTCACTTCAATAATAATAAATTTAAAACAGTGTTATCTCTGAAGAATGCTTGCCTCTAGTTTCACAAACTAGGGAAAAGACCGCAGCAACAAAGTGAAGTTTGAATTTCTTGTCAGCTGCACTGGCAGGCATCAGCCAGCAGGGGGAGCGCACACAAAAGGCAATCAGTCTGGGGCTCCCAAGTCCCTTACACTCTTGTGGGAATAAAATAAGAAACTTTCCCACAGAATTTCTGTAACTCCATCTAATAATTTTTATGTTGCGGTCACCTATCATCTCTTTCGAAAGAATTCTATTAATCCATTATGAATTAAGTGAAGGTAGCCAGGCCCCCAGATAAAATTTTTTTTTTTCTTTTCTGGCAAAATTTTTTATAAAGCAAACATTTGTCTGTGTGTTAAATAAATGGATTTATAGAGCTCAGTCATTACATACAATTTCTTCAGGATACAAATGTAACTGCTTTGAAAGCCACATGCACAGAAATATTAAGGTCGATGTCTCAAGGTCAGATTATGCAGTTAGTATTTGAGTATATCAATAAGCATTTTAATCTGTAATCAATCTGTGTTAAGGGAAATATCCACACAGTTAAGTGCCCTCTTACATTCTCAGCATCTTCAGAAATCTGGCTCTTTTGCTATCAGTAAAAAAATAAAAAAATTAACAACAAAAGAGATATTTAACTAAAGTTTCAATATGTGTTAGGGTTTCAAAATAACTTTGATTAATTTCAAGTAAGTTTACCAGACAGACTACACTAGTCTAGTGCTGCTGTAAATAATTTAACTTGCCCTCCCCAAAACACCACAGGCTATACTTCATATGAATTAGATGATGATATGAGACTTTGGGGTGTTTTTAAATGGATAAGAACAACACAAAAGTCAACTAAAGGAATGTGACTATATATGAAACGAATGAAGACGCTATCTATTAAATTATTAATAATCCATTAAATTCTGGGCCTTATAAAACTAGAACTTCAGAAAATGTTTCCCTTACTCTTTGTTGACTGTAAAGATATATTTATTTGCAAAGAAATTAGAGTTCCTGTTTGGAAGGGTCTCTGAAATTTAAGAATGGTATGAGCAGTCAACAGCCTCTAAGATTTTAATGGTAGCAAAAATGTATATTCTGAGAACTTCACAAACAAGTACAATTTTCACTAAAATATTACAAAGAACCAAAAATCTGCAAAGTTGGAAAAAGTTATTAATTTACATGTCATATATCTAGCAGTGTCTTAAAAAGCATCAAAACCATTTAATTCTGGTGTCTAAAAAACTAATATGAACAATTGTTAAAAGATGAGAAACCTGATGCTAAAGGAAAATCTCTATGAATTTAAAATATGCTGTGGAAGTAAGAGAAGTTGAAATACAAATTGCTCTCGATTTTTGCTCTGATAAATTACTTTTATAAAAATCAACTGCTAGAACATATATTTATTACTTTTATAAGGTTATGAAGAATTTTTCCAGCTTAACTGAAAAGCAAAGCTGAGACAAAGCAAAAAGCTTTGTTTTGGACTATTATGATGAAATAAAAAATGCTCTTTAAAATGCAATTTCTGATCATCAGAGGAACATACAGAGTCTTCCTTAGGACACACTGCCAGATTTATGATTTAACTCCAATTCATGGTTTTGAATTTTGAAGCAAAGAAAAGAGTAGTGAAAATTTTACTCGGCCACAGGAGTTGGGACAGCATAGCCACAGGCTCGAGAACTGGCTCCATCACCTCAGCCATAAGACACGCCCACAGCCCAGCCTGGCCAGAGGCTGGCATTCCTGCCATTCCCTCTGCTGCCTGTTCTGGCCACACGTATCAGCTGGCACAATGCTTTCATTCATAGTTCTGAATACTGGTACCCATAAAAGCTTTAGGAGAGCTGGAGGGGTTTTACCTCAAGATCGCCTTTAGTAATTGATTCTTCCTCAACCCGGAATTGAAGGTCCTCAACCTTCCTGTGGAACAAAATCGAAACAAAGCACTTGAAGTAAAATCTGCCTTACCAAAAAATAAAATAAAAATCTATAATCAATACCCTGGTGAATTTAGCAGATAATGGTGGAAAGAAATGCCTTAGAGACATAGAAAATAAAGAAATGTATCTTTAGGCCTCTGGTTTATAAATCTAAGAGCTCTACTCAGGAAACTCCAAGGTTCTCTCCAGATACTGATTCCAGGAGGCATGAGGTATAACAGTTGAGAAAAATCAACTGGTTCCCTTGGTCACAACCACCAGAATGGATCTAATCAAGACAAGATCAGCCTACAGGGAAAAGGTCTGATTACCACAGAAATACGTTTGAGAATACAAATCTATAATTTCTATCATCCAATAACAGAACATAGGGGAAAGTGGCACAGAAAACACATCTCTCCCAGAAAACACACCCCATGTCAGGTATTTTAGGGTGAGGTTAGCAGGCTACCCATGCAGAGATTCCCAGGACAATACTAGGACCTGTTCCAAGACTGGGAGAGTAAGGTTGTGAACAATTTGGAGGAGAAGCAATCGAGGATCCTATTTCTTTGCTTCTAAAATGCACATTTTAGCGGCTGGCCCGGTGGCATAGCAGCTGGGTTTGCGCACTCTGCTTCGGCAGCCCAGGGACCTACACACCAGTCATCAAGCCATGCTGAGGCGGCATCCCACATAGAGCAACTAGAAGGATGTGCAACTATGACATACAACTATCTACTGGGGCTTTCGGGAGAAAAAAGGAAAAAAGGAGGAAGATTGGCAACAGATGTTGGCTCAGGGCCAATCTTCCTTATAAAATAAAATAAAATGCACGTTTTTTCACATTTTAAAATATCTGATATTGGGTGTGGGTTTCAATCAATGCCATCCCCAAAGTCAAAGAACATTGATGGTCTGAAGATTTATAAAATCTGGGTGACATCCTCGATATGAATCTTTACAAAATTGGGTGTAAGAGAGGGAAGAAAAGGTGGACAAAGTTCATAACCTACATGAAAAAAACAAAAATCTTTCAAACTCACTAGCATTTCTAGCAAAATTAGGAATAAAAAAATATCCTCAGTTATATATATATATATGACCATAGGTTAAAGCCCTCATGCTTATTGCGGAGCCGGGGGGACATGTCTACGGCCCAGAGGTCAGTACAGCAAGAGCCAGTTTTGGAACAGAAGCCAATGGTACTGATGCCTTGGCATTGAGAGGGGCCTAGGAGGGTCTGCTGCTGTCTCTTTTTTACTTGTAGCCATATTTAAGATGCGAGGAGAATTTCCTATGTATGGCGTTTCTCTCTCCAGTGAGAAAGTAATTTCCTTGTTAAGAGACTCTTGTCACACCTCCACTGTATCCCCTCACCAAAGCAGCACTTATGACTGTCCTGAGCTCACAGTTATACTAATAACTACTGAATGAAGTCGCTATCAGACATGACAGAAGATGGCACTAAATGCAACAGAGGACAAACGTCCCACAACCCAGAAATGTTCAAATGGTTTCTTCAGAGATCTTGTTTGTTCATGGCCTCAAAAAACCTTTTATAAGAACCAAACTGTCTCACACAATCTAGCACTTGCTTTCATCGTGACCTGGATAATCCTCTAACTGCTTCACGTGAGAGTTTTGTTTTCCTAATAAGGTACTGAGTTTCTTAAGAACAGGGACCTTATATCCCTCACCAGGCATCATACAATTTCATTAGATGCATGGAATGTGTTTCATAAACACTAGGGAACTTGGACCTGGAATATCCTCTCACCAGGAACGGCTCCAGGTGGAAGGTGGGTGTGAATTCACTCCACAACCCTGACTAAGCCTATCCTCAAGAGGATGCTTGCACACAGGGGGCTCAATAAATATTTGTTAAATTAATCAGGCCATGTTTAGATGATTCCAAAGTTCTCGAAAAAAGTCAAATCAAAGCAAACCCTCCTCATACAATATGAAGAGATCAATTTCCACTGAACACACAGTCATTCCTCTGGTTCTAAGGGTTGGCAGCAATAAGGTTGTTAATGGTACACATTTTGCCTAAGGTCGTTTAAAAGGAAAAGGCCATGCTTGCACCAGGGGACAGTCTGGGATCACCTTTTCTCCTCTTCAAGTTGGTTGAGAAGCTCCACCTTCTCTCTGTCAGCAGCTTCCACCATTGTTCGCAGCTGGTCCATCTTCGCCTCCAATTCCAGGACATGCTGGGGAAGGCAAGGATGTCAGTGAGTGGCCTCTTCCTGACCCACATACAGGCTCAAGGACGCCTCCAAAGAGCTATGGCTAAGTGGTATCATCATAGGTTGGCATTACTCTAAAACCTTTTCACGTTAAAATGCTTTCTAAGATCTTTAATAGGTTATTCTCAGCAGCATTCCTGGAAGCTAGATGATGCAAAACCACACCATTAAAGCAATAGAGGGCAATATTAAATTCTCATCTTTTTTGAAGCTGAAACTCATACAAAGGATAATCTATAAAACAGGAGTTTTAATGGCTGGTCAAGTCCTAGTAAACAAGCTCTCCTAACATATACAGGCCAAAAGACCTGGACGGAAAGACCAAAACGCAAGGTAGACTCAAGAAAATCAAAACTTCATCTTTACGATGATGCAAACTGGTACCCCAGGTCACTGCTTTCAAACAGCCCAGCAAAGACATTTATACTCATTTCTAGTACTCTCAAGACTAGCTCCCCAGCTCCAAGCACCAGGTAATCCATTCGGCCTCCTCCCTCAAGTTAGAAACCATCAACAGCTCCGCAACAAGATTAGCTTAGAACCCATCACCGTCTCTGCGAGAAGGTCAGCACCAGACTTCACCTGGTCATGTCCGTCCCGGGCCAGAGCTAGCTCCTGCTCTATTTCCCCCACGTGGCTCGTGGCCTTGGCCACCTCCGCCCTCTCTAGATCCCGTTCAGCCAGCAGCTGCTCAATGTGCTGCTGCTTCTCCTTCAGGGCCTCCTGGAGGGCGGTGGTGCCGGAGATCTTCCTGGCGTAACGGGAGGAGGTTTCAGTCAACTGCAAAGGAAAGTTAAAGAAGTGAAGGGCGATGATGCTATCAGGGATGCAAGGAGGTGTGCGTTAGATGCAGCAATGCATGCATGGTGGGCGTCTCCTCAGCAAAGCAAAAGTGCAGCCCCGGCTCGCAGGCTTGTCAATTATTAGGAAAGGCTTTTCATCAAGAGAACAACACAGCATGTGCCTCCTGCTTGTAAATTTCACAAAGAACACATCAATGTAAAGAGGTCAAGGAACAATCAGGAAGATGTTTAGAAGGAGAATAAGTGGCTCAAATCAAAGGTACCCTGAACTCAGTTGACAGGGCCTTGTAAGAATCTAGGAAAATTCCACAGAACCCATTTAACAAGTTTCTCTACACTCCATTTGAGCCTGAACTTCATTAATAGTTATCTTCTTGTTATGACATTTTGGCCAATCTTTTGATCCTTAGTTTTGAGGCTGAGACTTTTTTCAACTTCTTAAGCTTCTAAATACCATTATGTAACCAAGAAATCACCCCTAGAGTCACAAACCTTCCTTTAATTGATTAAATAGTTGGATCTTTGTCAGGATTTTCTTCACCCTTCTTTTAAAACGAAGGCAGAGGAGATCTGACCCAGGAATCCAGCCTTAAGGACCTGAATCCCCATCACCAGAGAGATTTATAAAGATAAGGTGAAGAGGAAAACTCGACCTGCCTTCAAAAGTGTGTGTGAGTGGGTGAGTGTGCATGCACGGCCAAGTACACACGTAAGAGAAAGGAAGAAAAAGGACACAGGAGGGAGAAAAAAGAGGGGAAAGAGATTTGTGGAGACAGAAAAGTAGAGGGACAGGGAGAAGAAAAGGGGAACGGAAAGGGCAGCGGGAGGAAAAAGAGAAGCAGGGGCAGAAAGAGACGAGTTGGGGAGAAAGGGACAGAAAGAAGCTTGTTCTGTCATCTGTTAATCTTTGCTGTTTCACGTACCCGACTCCTCCACCTTGAGGCTAACCATTATGTAAAAACACAGAGAAAAGAACCTCCCATTAAGTGTTAACAGGTAATTTGGGCAAGTTGAATAATATTCTTCCAAGCTAGGCTCCAGAGGCTGGGAGGTAGTCAAGAAAAGGCCTCCTCCCTTGGTAAGCGTTTGTCCAAGGCCATTTCCTTAGCGATGGCTGGCTCTAGATCAAGCAGCCTCCACTTCATCTTCTGCAATCAAAGCCTCATTTGCTGCTTGAATGCTCTTCTCTTCATCAGTCTACCTGAGCCCTTGTCCAGGATGCAGACTACGAGTGAGGATCTGTCATCAATTAACAGTGAGGCAACCTGATAACTATGAGAGTAAAGGAATCCAGTCAAACCCAAATGGTCCTCTGTTGTTTCTATTTAGTGAACTTTCTTGAATTACTTAAACATATGAGGAGGGATTCCTAGTCTCTCTTTTAACCACCTAACCTTGATTTCCAATTTCATTATATGGTTCAATTATACTTTCTCATACTAACATTTCTTCCTGAATACACTAAGTCTGAGGTTCCCAAACCCTGAGCAGAGAGCACTGCAGTAAAGTCACAGGGCACTGTGGGATATTTTAAAATTTCAAGGGAAACACAGCGACATCTGTTGGACACCATGCAAACTACTAGCTTGAGGCAACTCAGTTTCAACCTTAGATTGTACTACATTCCTTTCGGTAACGTCATGTCTTTCCAAAGCTAGGTTTTGGCTACTGTCATGACAAAAAGCCAGTACTGTGCAAAATTCAATGCGGCACAGGAAATGAGAGTGGCGGTGTTCACTAAGATTCCCAGGTTTAACAAGATGTGCAGCCCCCAACAGGAGCATACAACCTAATAGTAATTATGGTTAAGAATGAATAAAAAATATTATTTTTTCTTTCAATTAATGAGTATCATTTTTTGTGAACAGCTACTAAATTGTTAGGACAGAAATATTAAGTTGTTTGGATGTAATTACTTAATAAACAAAACTGTTAGCTATTTCTTTTGGCCTAGGGGCACCATGAAAAAATAACTGAGACACTAAAGGTGCTATGAAACCATAAAGTTTGGGCACCTCTGTGCTCAATACTTTCAGAAGATCATTTTGCATTAAATAATCTTTAGACTTTTTTATATACATGAATGGGATTATATTGCTGAGATATATTTCCAGGAAGTCACACTTTCAACTATTCTATACTCTTGGCATATTCTTTTATGGTGATTTTTTAATTAGAAACAATAATCACCCTATACAAAGATATTCAAAAGTAAGCTGTTTTACAAGGCAAGGAGACATTTCTCTTTTGTCAGTTTTCTTCACTGAAGGAGGTGAGCTAAGAGGAATCAGAACTGGTCTGCAAAGTAAGAGGAGAGGTTGGGGGAAGCAGGGAGAGACTGGTTATTTTCTGAAGAAATGGACACTTTTAATTACAATGTAATATAAATTACTCAAGAAAGAATTCCCAATCCAGAGTAGACACTTGGTGGAACTGTCCAGGATTAGCAAAGGAGTCAATGTCCATATCAGAGTTTGCCGGCCCACTCTCAACAAGGATTTGTGCAAATGGAGGGCTTTCTTCATCTCCATTTCATGGTTCTTGTCAAGCTTTTGTCATAAAAGTCCATTTGTCATTTTTCTGTTGAAGATGCAGACTTTCTTTCCATACACAAAATAAAGAAGTCCAAACAGGTATTTATTTTACCTGAACATAAAAGGAAGAAAGTCCAGCCAGCTGGCAGAGGAGCACTACCCCCACTTTAAGGAAAGATTCCTCTGCCTTTCCTTTCCTGCCTGACGATCACAGAAGGGAAGGCAAAAGGAGACCAAGGGCCAGTGGCCTCACTCCCATCACACCACTTAATGTTCTAACTCCTGTCTGTAGTTCACCATCATAATGCAGAGATCTCGAGTTCAGTTTGGAGTACAATCTTATGCTGCCATTTAAAATTTAAATGGTATTTGCCTCACTTCAAGTAAATAAACTTAAGGGCAGGGGATGAAGCCAAAAAGTCACTGCCTTGACTCTAATAAAACACCACATTAACCCACAGAATGAGGCGCTGCCTATTTTATTTTAATCCTGATGATTCTATTTTTACTGATGTAAATGGGAGAGGAAGAGGGAGTGGGAGGATGAGATGAAGAAAGGAGGCGAAACAAAACATGGCTTTTCCTAGCATCCTTTCAAGTGCTAGAAGTTCTGCTCTGCGTCCTCCGGCCCAAGGCAGGAACACTCCACACATTAACTGCTTTCAGTGGGTTAGACCATATTCACATAATAATAGAATTCTGAGAACATGCCTTTGCTCAAAATATTCTAGTTCCTGAAATTGTCTGAAGCCAAAGATAAAGAGACCTATATCCTTGAGGAAAAGGATCCCTCCAATCTTCCTGTCATTCTTGTGCCCAAAATAATTTCAGAGAAAAGAAATCATCCCATATGTTAGATGACGCAGTGGTTACTACAGACTCACCAAGAACTGGTACAACGTAAAGCCTTAAGAATCTAAAAAGGGCTGTAAAAACTCTTCATTTCGGGGCTGGCCTGGTGGCGTAGTGCTTAAGTTTGCGTGCTCTGCTCCAGTGGCCCAGGGCTCACAGGTTCAGATCCCAGGCATGGACCTACGCAACGCTTGCCAAGCCATGCTGTGGCAGTCCTCACACATATAAAGTAGAGGAAGGTGGGCACAGGTGTCAGCCCAGGGCCAATCTTGCTCAGCAAAAAGAGGAGGATTGGCAACGGATGTTAGCTCAGGGCTAATCTTCCTCACCCCAAAAAAAACAGCTTTTTATTTCAAAACTTGTATTCTTGCTGGAGTTTTATTTCGTGAAACTTGTAAGGACTTCACAGGCTACAACCCACATTTAGTACAAGGGCAAGGAAAGACTTAGCATTTCTTAAAGCAAAGCAGGTGCACTGACAGCGGCATTTATCATGCAGTAAGAACAGGGAGGCTTACTAATCCCGTCCGACTGGGCTTGCTGCTCACGGAGGAGGCCACTGAGCTCATGGAGCTGAGAGAGGAGGCAGAAGGGCTGCGCTTCAGGCTGGCAGGTGTGGTTGCCATCACTCGCCTCACGGCAGCGGCCTTGGCTTTGGCTGGTGTAGTGGAAGGGAAGCCAATCTTGGTCACTTTGTGGACAGGAGCAAACAAGCCATATTTGGGTTGACATTGAAAATACCTTTAGAGAACAACAACAAGAAGAGCAACAGAAAACTTAATTATAAGAAATCACAACTATAACCAAAAAGCTCTCCTAATTCATAACTCATAACTGGTTTGCTGTGAATTCTACCAATAAGCTGGGGTGATACCCAGTGTGCAGCATTTACATGTATCTAGGCTAATAAATAACTTCAATAATGTTTTAGAAAACATGCTAATAAATAACAATATGATACTTAGAGACAGAATTACTCATCTGTTACTAAGGTTCTACGCAAAAGGAATAAATCTTTCTACTACCATCTGATAAACACACAGCAAAGGAGAGTTCAGCAATATAGTGATCCCACATAAAACTATGCTGAAGGGAAAAAGAAATCAAACAAGCACCTAACTCTGGCAGATTCACTAAAGTAAAGGTGGAGAAATATCAACCAGTAATGTCAGCTATCAGACTGACACTGGAGATCATACGACTCTAGAGAATTACGTCTTAATATCAAGAAGGATGGCTTCATAATCATTGCAGCACTAAGAGATTTTTATCTCCTCAAGGCATTATTATTGTATTTTATTTGGTAGATAAAGCCCATATGCTTATAATGAATTTGGATATGTTTTATAAGTAAAACGTTAACTACAACACTTTATACTACTACTGATAATGCATCATATACCACACCTGTGCCCAGGTCTTCAAAACATTTTGAAAAGAAAATATGGGAAATTTCTCTTGCATTCATTTGTATTATTTAACTTCCATCCATCCTGTCTCTGGGAGGTGAGCACGGGGTTATCCCCACACTGGAAGAGGTCTGCCTGCTGCATCTTCTCTTGCCACAGGACAGAATTCTTGTCATCAGATATGAGGACACATTTTATGTTCTTTTCCTAACAAAGGTAGCTTCCTTCTCTTCACTTCCCCACCCATAACACCCAGAAACGCATTCAGAGGTTGACTGCTATCAAAAAGGAGAGAAGCCAAAAGGATAACATAATATTTCCTTTCTATTTTGAAAAATAAATTGAAAATAATATATATGATACTATAACGGTAGATACATATCATTATACATTTATCTAAAGCCACAGAATGTACATTATCAAGTGTGAACTCTAATATAAACTACAGACTTCGGCTGATTATGGTATGTCAGTGTAGCTTCATCCGTTGTAACAAATGTACCATAGGGTGCAGGATGTTGCTAGTGGTGGAGGCTGTGCATGTGTGGAGCAGGGGGTATATGGGAATTCTCTGTACCTTCCTCTCAATTTGCTGTGAACCTAAAACTGCTCTAAAAAACCAATAATAATAGTCTTAAAGAAACTGAATGCTTATTCAGAATCTATTCAGACATGTTCCACATATTACTAAAAGAGACAGTCAACAGAGCAACTCCAGTTCTAGGGGGAAAAAAAAAATCAGTAGATGAGTCTTAGGAAATAGAAGTACAGCTCTTCAAAACACTTATTTCCATTCTATTACACACAATTGGTGAGATCTGCTTGAGCACCTCTACATGCAAGAGGGAGACAAGTTTCCAATTCCAAACAAACCTGGTTCCAGCAACAGCCCCGTCATTCTTCCCAAGAGGCTCATCTAATTCCACACCACACCATTCCCCCTTGGCAAAGTCTGTCTCCCCAAGAAACCGGACTACACCAGCCTTAGTGCCACCAACCTGGAGGAAGAGAATGTGAAAATGAAGAGATGAACATAATTCCATAGCTTAATCCTTTGCAGCTGCAACCAATAATTAAGTACTGTGCTCCATCATTTCTATCAGCAGCTCTTCTCTCTACCTTCTGTTTAACTCTCTAAAGAGTTCTCTCCAAAGATTGGCAAACTTTACCTGGGTGATTTCTATTACCAGAGTGATTCGATACCTGATATAGTCCAATAATGAAATAGCCTATGTAATTTGTAGTAATTAAGACTGTCCAAATTAATTATTTCCTTCCTTAGAAAAATACTTTATTGCTCCAGAGGGATTTTCTTGCTTCAAAATAAATATTTGCTACAAAAATAAAACCCCTACATCATTAAAGGAACACAAAATTCATCCATAATCCCCACACTGTAATAATTGCTGCGTTTATTTTCTCATGTAAAGGAAGCAATAACACATACATATCAAGGACAAATATTCACACATCTACACACATATTTACTTTTGGCCTCTTCAACTGCTTGAAAATGTAAATTCTTTAAAATATTTTTATTTTCCACTGTGAAGCTCTCCATTACTTCACAACTATTAAAATTACTGTTCTTCACATTTTATTTACATGAACTGTTCAAAGCTGTGAATCTTTTTAAATGTTTTGACTCTTTGTCCCAGCTATTGTTTGATATAATAGCTAAACATTAATTATTTCTACAATTATCCCACCAGCATTTATTAATTATTCCTTCTTTTGCCATAATTCTTCTATTTCAAATACTCATTATATCAGATTCTCTCTCATGTGCACATGAGAACACACAGATGTGTCTGAGTCTTTCTACAGGTTCAAAGTTCAGTCTCTGTGCTACTGCCACAGCATTTCAATTACTGCAACTTCACAATCTCTACCATATTTGCTACTGCTGGTTTCCCTTCCTACTCTTCTTTGGAATATTCTTCGATTTTCTTACTTTGTTCTAAGCTTCTTTTTTTTTTAATTTCTTTTTTTTTAATTCCCAATTTTAAAAGAGGTGAACACTGCAGGAAATTAAGAACATTACAAGCAAAAAATAAATGTAATACCTGTATTCTCAACACCCAGAGACAGTCACTGCTGGCTGTTTAGTATTCCACAGTACAGATGTATCATGATGTGCACCTTACTCATTTTTCATTTGGGATGTTTCCCTTTTTCTTATTGATTTAAAAAAAAAACTTTATACATAATGAATTTAAATTATTTCTTGAATAGCCAATACATTCTCATGGTTCAAAAAATTTTAAATATAAATATGTATTGAAGCAAGAGTCTCCCTTATTAAACTCTTGTCCCCTATCTGCCCTACTCCCACCATCACAGGTGTAACTACTATTATTGATTTACAGCGTATCCTGCCCCCCAGCATTTCTCTATGGGTATAAAAGCAAATGTTAATTTGCCTTTTTATTCCTCCCTGTTATTTTTACACTAAACCCAGTGTACTTCATGCACTATTCTGCACCTCGCTTTGTTCCACATCAAGACATGGAGAGCTTCCTTCTTTGTGTTTACAACTGCATATCACTCCACTGTATGAATGCATACAGTTTATTAAATCAGCTGCTACTGATAGACATTTAGGTTAAGTAGGTTTATCGGTTCAATAAATTTAAAAATCATTTTGGCTAATTCTAAAAAAAGTACAACGGGATTGTGTTAAACTTAGATTACCTTTGGAATGTAATTAATTTTACTGATGTTTACAAGGAACTAGTTTTTAGGTTTTTCTCCTTTTGTTTCTGATGTTCTCTATTTTATGTAATTCACTTTTTATCTTTACTATTTCCTTTTTCCTACTTCCTTTCGGTTTATTGTTCTTGCCTTCCTAATTTTTTAAAACCAATACTAAATTTATTTTTTGTCTTGCTTTTTGATACTAAAGGTATTTGTTTCTAATTTTTCTCTGAATACAGCTTTCCATGAATTTGGGATGATACAACTTTTTCCCAGCTTTCACTCTTTGTTGAAGATGGAAAATGTTCAAGCCTCAAAGCTATCTACATTTTGTCTGAAAGAGAAACTTTTTGTGAAACCGATTTAAGGAACTAAAGGAGTTAACAGTTTAAGGTACTCTAAACAGGGAGGGCACGTGAAAGGTGACAGAGGGCAGGCAGTGCCAACACATTCCAGAAACGTCCTGGTGTCATGACAGGCGTCACTGAGGAAAGACAGAGTTGGAGGTTGGAGAAAACTCCACAGCAGGAACTCTGTTGTGTCCAGCACTTCAACACGCAAACGCCCAGCAGAGCAGAGTAGGCACTCGACACAGATTTGCTGCATAAATGAAAGGTGACCTCCGTTGAGACCTACAAAGAAAAGGCCCCTTTTCCATGGAAACCAACTAAAGGAAAAAGATACCATGGCTGAGGCTGAATTTGATGTCTCAGAAGCGAGCGAAGGAAGAAATACACTAACACAGAGCATGGGCTCTCAAGTCAGACAAATTCACATGCCAGCTCTGTCTATTAGTTAGCCATGTTGCTTAATTTCTAAATCTATTTCTAAATCTATTTCCTCATAAGTAAAATGGGAATAATTATAGGACTTCTGTGAGGATTAAATAAAATAATCCACATAAAATTGCTTAGCGCAGCATCTGACAGTGTAAGAGTCCACGTATGTTAGCAGCTAGTTTGCCCACAGTAATGAGAGGACTAGTTCTAGATCTGGCACATTTGACTTTTTAACACTCTTATTGGTATTCATAGAATCTACAAATAGTCATCTATATAAAATTGGTGCAGTTTTCTCCATCCTCCTGCACCACAGCATTCAGAGCAGCAGTCTAACCAAATCCTATGAGCAGAACACAGCACATTGGTTAAAGATGATGCAATCTCTTCAGATAATCTGTTGAATTCTTTGGGGGTGAGTCTAAATTACTGTCGTGACAATTGTTTTTCAAGAGGCGTCTAACAGGCTGTGGTCAATAAATTCTCCAAGCAAACCACAGGCTTCATTCAGATCAGAAGCTTTATAAAAAATTACCACAAATAACAGATTAGCCACTGTTTCTCTAAATGCAGGTAATATAATATACATTTACCCTGAAAATAAAATACGATGCCACAAAGTTTGTTTGAAAAAGGTGATTACTAGTTCCAAGAATGGGCAGTTTTCTTTTTCTTTTCCTCCCACCAAACTTGGAATTCTTGCACAGACAATATGCTTTCCTTTTCCCTCTAAAGATCATTAGTAATTATTAAAAATATCTTCAACAGAGAAAGCAAGTCACGTGAAGTCCTAAAATCACTCAAATGCTTTTCTGCTTAAACATTTTACAGTCAAATTTTTTTCTAAGCATTTAAACATGATTTTATAAAGTTAGGTTTTACTTCTCATGTGTTCCAGAGAATCCCAGTATGTGCATTCATAATAAGTATAAGCCACAATTTTCAAATCGATGTTTTGGGGTAGATATCAAGGTTATGAAAGAAAAAATTTTCAACATTGAACCAAAAACACAGATTCCCATGGCAAACACAAATAACTACCATTCATTCTCTTTGGTCTCAGAAAATGAGTATATAACCCCTAACACTGTGGTCAACCTAAGTCAAAATTAGAAGTTAATCTAGGGCCGACCCCATGGCTTAGCGGTTAAGTGTGCGCGCTCCACTGCTGGCGGCCTGGGTTCGGATCCCGGGCGTGCACCGACGCACTGCTTCTCTGGCCACGCTGGGGCCGCGTCCCACATACAGCAGCTAGAAGGATGTGCAGCTATGACATGCAACTATCTACTGGGGCTTTGGGGGGAAAATAAATAAATAAATAAAATCTTTAAAAAAAAAAAAGAAGTTAATCTAAACTAGAAACTCAACTAAAGGAAAACCTAGCTATGTTCATGCTTTAGCAAATCTCAGGTTTTTAAGTCCTCATTCATTCATTCAATATATATTTCTTGAGTGCTTGGGTCCTTAAGGATATAAAGATAAACAGAACACAGTGTTGGCCACTGATGGAGAAAGAAATTCAAATAATTCCAGTAAAAAGTGATAAGTACTTTTAGAGCTTTCCAAAAAATGCTGTGGGAAGAAAGACATATAACCTTCTTGTAAACGCTTGTGAAAAATAAGAACACTGATAAATTCTGCTGGGCTAATGAATGGGTCCAGAAACAGGAAACATTTAACCCTCACTGAACTCTCCCATCTATTCATTATCAAGTCCCAAATAAGCCATTTAATCTCACTGTGCCTTGGTTTATAAAGCCATAAAATGTCCAATGAGTGATAACGAGGGATTGTTTCACAGGAATTTTGTGAGCAACACCATTTTGTGAGGTGGCTTCTTTATGACATGATTCAGAGTCTCCCAATCTATAACATATGGTGGTAAGTAAATTCTCCTAAAAAAACTAGTATGACAAGAGCAGATGACGTATAACAGATATTCTCTTATAACTCTAACTCTCCCTAGAACAAACAGGTAAACAAAAGATGACATAATTATGAAGACACTGGTTAAAAGGTAAAAAAGTTATGCTTAACTTGCACTTTAACTCTTGAAACTAATCTTTCCTTCTAAAAGCATATTAACTCCTTCAGGATCCAGTACCCCAAGAATAACAAGAAACAGGAAAAAAAAAAAAAAAGGGAGAAGATTAACTTGTTACCTCAGAGAGTGGGCACAGAATTGCTTAATATAAGACTGTAAGCACCAAAAATTTGACATTTTAAATTATGAGCATGAATTCCTTTAAAAAACTTTTAAATTAATAAAACTAAATAAATAGGTGAGTGGATAAATAAGACGTGGTATGTCCAGAAAATGGAATATATTCAGTCATAAAAAGCAATGAACTACAACATGATAAACCATAAAACATTACGCTAAGTGAAAGAAACCAGACATCAAAAAACTACATATTACATAATGGCATTTATAAGAAACGTCTAGGAAAGGCAAATCTATACAGACCGAAAGCAGACCAGTGATTGCCCAGGGCTGGAAGTGGGAGTGGAAAATGACTTGC